CAAATATTAAGTCAATATCATCCAGCATGACGAAAAAGTGTGGAAAACTGATTATTTGAGTGAATTTTCCAAGTCCAAGGACCATGACTCTGCACAAAATCATCAGACCGAACCAAAATTTGTACTTGATCTGTAACTTATCATGATACAACTATATACCAATTATCAAATCAATATCTTTAAGCATGACAAAAAAAGGCCGAAAACTGATTATTTGGGTGAATTTTCTAAGTCCAAGGACCATTACTCTGCACAAAATTATCAGACCGGAACAAAATTCGAACTTGATCTGTAACTTGTAATGATAAAACTATATACCAATTATCAAATCAATATCTATAAGCATGACGAAAAAAGTGAGGAAAACTGATTATTTGAGTAAATTTTTCTAAGTCCAAGGACCATAACTCTGCACAAAATCATCAGACCAGAACAAAATTCGAACTTGATCTGTAACGTGTAATGATAAAACTATATACCAAATATCAAATCAATATCTTCAAGCACGAAGAAAAAAAGTGTGGAAAACAGACAGACAGAGTGCAAACCTAAAGTCCCCTTCGACTTCGTCGTTAGGGGACTAAAAAATCAAAATCAAAATTTGCTCAGGATGATCTTTTGATTCCATCTAACATAGATGTAGATGTTCATGTCTAACAAAAACTTAAAACCTAGACTGTACTTAAATGTTATCTGCAATCTTCAAAGTTGGCAAAATGAATAAAAACATATTTCAAAATTTAACTCCAGAATTTATCTCTTGATCAAAAAGAAATAACTGTCCAAGTTTCATAAAACTTTCATAATATTAGTAAAAAATTGGATAAAATCTGTGTGAAGTTTTCACAATTTTGTGTCTTCTAATATCAAAATAAGCCTTGAACAATGTGCAACTACTTTACTTCCAACTAAATTTGAAAAGCATCCCATCTATGAAAGAGGGACGAAAGATACCAGAGGGACAGTCAAACTCATAGATCGAAAACAAACTGACAACGCCATGGCCAAAAATAAAAAGACAAACAGACAAATAATAGTACAGATGACACAACATAGAAAACTAAAGACTAAGCAACACGAACCCCACCAAAAACTGGGGGTGATCTCAGGTGCTCCGGAAGGGTAGGCAGATCCGGCTCCACATGTGGCACCCGTCGTGTTGCTTATGTTATTACAAATCCGATAAATAGTCTAATTCGGTAAGTCACATACGTGAAAAGGGAAGGGTATTGTAGTTACGACATAAGGAACATATCCGATATCATCTGTGAAACGGTTATTCCATAACGGTCAACCAACTCGTGATGGCGTCCGTAAAATTTACGAAGGGATGATTTCAACTTCACCATTTGGAACTCTTGGCTTAATAGCTTCCTTTTGAGCAGCAATCCTCTATCAAGGAAATCATGATAGGAAACACAAGCCCTGGAATATCGTATCAATTGGAAGATATATACTCCGTATGCAGGCGCTGCTGGAATGTTGCTACATAGAAATGGAAAGTTCACAATTGGGAAGCTGAAATCATCTCTTTTGTCGTAAAGTTTTGTTTTCAACCGACCCTCATTGTCAATTTCTAGATGTAAGTCAAGATATGAGGCAGACTTAACTGTATCTGTAGTATCCTTTATCTCTAGTTCGATGGGATAGATTCGTTCAACATAGTCACCAAATTTGGTATTATTTAGTGAGAGAACATCATCTATATAGCGGAACGTAGAGTTAAAGGATATTGCTAACTTCTTATCTTTCTTCCTAAGAAGTTCCTGAATGAAGGCAGCCTCATAATAATAAAGAAACAAGTCGGCAAGAAGAGGGGCACAATTGGTTCCCATTGGAATTCCGACAGTCTGTTGAAAAACACGTCCTCCAAACGTAACAAATATGTTGTCGATCAAGAAATCAAGCATCTTGATAATGTCAGTTTCAGAGAATTTTTTGTTTGAATCAGAGTGATTCTTTACAAAGTAGGATTTATCCCTCCAAAAGACAAGATACTTGTATCTACGTTCGCCATTCTTTTTAATGAAACAAAGTAATACCAACTCTTTCAATTTGTCTTTTAGTTTGGAATGGGGAATACTTGTGTAAAGTGTAGAAAAGTCAAATGTTTTAATACTATTGCAAGATAAGAGAGTCTTAGATTGTATGTACTCTAAAAGATCTTTGGAATTTTTTAGTATCCACATCTGATTCACGCCACCTCTAGAATAGGCAGTTTCACAATATTTTTGGAGCCCGGCTTTGATTGCTGATAAAATAGATGTTAATAATTTAGAAAGAGGTTTCGTGGAGCACTTGGAAGACCCAGCAATATACCGATGTTTGTAAGGACCCTTATGAAAGTTTACCCTACACTATGTTAATTTTTACAGAACACCACAAAATCTGGAAATGCTAGCGCTTGCTATTTGAATATGCAAGGTGCAGAAAAATGAACCCTTCACATAATACATTGTCCTTTCTGGATAACTCGACAGGAGTAAAGGGTAGATTCCTGAAATTAAGTATTTAGAAACATAACTTTCTTCAACCATTAAAAAGTCCATGAAATATAGAAAAAAAATGTATTAGGAAAATTCAACCAAAAATAATCAACGAAATTTTGTAAAAATATATATATATGGTAAAATACTAACTTAGAATCCTTTCTGTCATGGCCAGCAACTTGCCCAGTGGCTATTCTCACCTTATCAGGATGATTTGCCAAACTGAAAATATATAACCATTATAAGTAATTATAATGTCTAGACAAATTTTGCCCAGATTTATCACTTCTTAAAAAACTTCTTCTTTAGGGAACGACCATTTGATTTTTTGGAGGGTTCTTGGATCAAATTTGAAATAGAAAGGCAGGATCTCAAAAGGCTGTAATATTTTTACCTGTACGATTCTTTCATCTCTTATTTTTTTGCATTAAAGAATTTGAAAACTATCCTTAAATATAGATGTTTATATGAGATTACGCAAAGTAATCCACCCCCCCCCCCCCCCCCCAAAAAAAACAACAACAACGTAACGGAGATGGTGTAATAATCTCCCCTGATTAGCCGTTTGAAGTGAATTGAAACACTTAATGAACTTTCCACGACATTTTTGTCAAATAATTGTATGGCGTTGATCGATCAATACATACTTTTGTCAGTAAAATGTTGAATTTTGCACTTTCTCGATAGGACTCAATATCGACTGGATTGAAGTTGTGTATGATTTTCATATAGAAGATTTCAGAAACTTTAACAATGAAAATTTCTAACATGCTATAGATAATGATTCATTAGATTTGTAGACATTAAATTTACATGTCTAACATGTTTGTATTTTGTGCAAATTTTGATCACTGCGCATTGTCTTTTTACATTAATTCATGCAAACTAAAAAAACATCTGAACATTTTCCGAATATTACGAACATTATCTGCCCCTTTCTCCAATGATCTCCTATTTCAAATATTTCGGTAACGCGTCGCTGATGAGTCTTTTATGGACGAAACGCGCGACCGGCGCAGCTAATTCTATATGCTTGGAACTTAGGTGTTTTTAACTATGCCTTGATCAATTCCCAACAACAGAAGACCCCTATCTTGATAATTCGGTCTCGCAGTATCTAGGACATGAAAACGTTGTGAAACAGATGTTGAAATGTTCGTGAGACAGTAATGACGCTGCATATGACGTCATTATGGTTTTCGCCTATGATATTTTTGCGGACACGAATTATTAGTGAACATTACTTTTTTAATTTCAAGAAATAATGATAATATTCTTTTAATTTGTCCGTCCAAGCACTTGTTCGGGTAATTCAAACTACAATTTAGAAAGTGTCCACACCACAGTTTAATTCGAATTGAAGCGAGTTAACTAATCCACACTAACGAAAACACATTTCTAATGCGAACTAGTCAATTCGAATTCGATTAAAATTAAAAAAAGAAGAGTGTGTGTGAACGCAATTAGCAAATTCGATTCACATTCGATTCAAACTCAATTCGAATTAAATGTACGTGTGAACGAGGCATGACAGGGAGCTATCATTCAGCAGCAAATCATGTATATTCTGGATAATATCACCCTTATAACGTGAAGATACATTGCTTTGTACTAGACAGATATGCCGAGTCATATGTGTATGCTATCTCACAACAACAACTTCCTAAAATGGCCATATCAATTATCATTATAATAAACTGTTGAACCAGAGATATGTCTCGCCTGTCAGCAGAAAATTCGGAAAAAGATAATCTGATGGACAGCATCATTGGTAATTGATTCAAGTTGCTGGACTATGACATAGAGATGCGTGTCAAAATTAGATGAATTAGGAGTTATTTGAACTACTTCGTATTTAAGAAAATGGGATAATGTAAGAGACCTTAAAAATGGAAAATATCATTGTCTATCACAAGCAGTTCCTATCAAACTGACTTAAGCAGAAAACTTCACATTTAAAATTGCTTTATAATTCAAATTTTACGGGACAGAGCTTCAAAATAGTTGCCAAACTGATATGTACTGATAGGAATGCAACTTTATAGAAAATATCATTGATCTATCACAAGCTATCACTATCTAATCAAACTGACATAAGCAGAAAACTTAACAATTGTTGACGCCTACGCAGCTAGAAACGCAACATCTATGTTTAGGATTACCCCAAAACTTCCTCATGGACCTAAAGTTGGAAAACTGTTGAAATAATCGGTTTGGGAATTTTCAATGATTAATAGCTACTTTTAAATAAGACCTTTTTTCTGTGAAATTTAAATTTAGCTATTGATTATGAATCACTGTACCAAAAAGAGAAATAAAACAAAACAACAATAAAACACATAAAACTGTGAAATAATGTGGACTTTAAATTTCCATCATGGTTTTTAAACATACTGATACATCACTTGAATGTGTTTAATTTTAAGTATAAAAGCTCCTAGTTAGAAAGACAGGTTGAATAACTTTTTAAATGCATTTAAAAAATAGTTTGCAACCTGAGGTATATTTGCATAATTGTACTAGAAGGACTAGAAATTTATTACATACAACAGGAAGAATAAGTTGGAACAAAAATTACTAATAATAATTTTAAAATTGGTTATCTTTGATAATCCTTACGATCAAAAATTCCATTCATGTCAAGGTACATATCAGTAAAGAATATTTATTCAGATTTTTAAAAGAGATATGACATAACTGCTCAAGGATGATTCAGTAATTACAATGTATTACAAGAAGGGAAAGGTGTGACAAAACAAAATCTATCATCATGGCTTCGGCATCACAAGCACCAAAAATGTGTGAATTGTGTGAAGAAAACAATAAAATTCAATGGAAATGTTTAAAATGCGAGTTTTATCTGTGTACTAAATGTTGTAAAATTCATCAAAAAGTAAGATCGTCAGATGAACACAAGGTCATTGCTATCGAGGATATCGGAATAGCTAAGATAAAAGACCTGGAAATCGAAAAAGATCTTTCAAATATAATGTGCAAAGAACATCCAGAAAAAATCTGCCAACGATTCTGTAAAACATGTGAAACCGTCGTTTGTAAAAAGTGCATTAAGAAAAATCACAGAGCCAAACATGAGGTGGTTGATATAAAAGAGGGTTACTTTCATGGCATAGATAAAATAAAGAAAACTAATTATAAACTTGATATAGAGGTCTTAAATCTTGCAACAGGTATGTCAACTCTTGAAGTTCTTACATCTGACGAAAATGAAAAATTTCAAGCAGAGAAACAGAAGATTCTTCAGAGAGATCAAGATCTCAAAGATCTAATTGATAAGCATACTAAAAAACTCTTATGTGATCTAGACCTAAGATGGAATATTTTCACTTCGTCAATCAAAGACGAAGACGATCGTGGAAAAAGGGAAACTCAAAATCTAGAAATCAAAAACACAGAATACAACAAAGTCTTAAACTCCTTTGATGCAAAAGATGTATTCTTAACAGCTGAGTACATAAAGAAATCATCAAACACCAAAATAAGACCTATCAATACATCATACACTCATCTTCCATCATATGTTCCAAGGGAAGTCACTCCTAGCACTATCTCTCATGGAACTTTACAAGAAACAACCAATGGGCACAATGAAAACATTAATAGATGCTTTCAAGTTGAAAAACACTACACAACGAACTTTAAGGCAACTGATGAACTTGCTTGCAAAGCTGACGGTTCACTTTGGATAGGGGATTATCAATCTAAAAAGTTACATAACGTCAAATGGAGTGAAAGTTCTTTTAAAACAACCCAGTCCTTGGAGGATATCAAGATTTATGATATGGCCATAACATCAAATGATGACCTACTTTTGGCAACCTTAGAAACAACTCTTAAAGTTATTCAACATAAAAAACCAAAACAGCTGATTTCAAAATACAATGTGTCACCACATATTATAAAATGTGTTCATGTTTCGCATGATGATAAGATATTAGTTGGAGTTCGCAAATTTGGACCTGCATTTCCCATCATTGGACCTAGACAAGTGATCGTTATGGATATGGAAGGAACCCATATTAAAACTTACAACAACAATTTGTTTTCTTATCCATTCAAAATAACCACGGATCATACAGGAACAATATATGTGATTGACTGCACCTCTGAAAATCGAAATGGTCGAGTTGTGGTTATAGGACAGGATGATTCAATGAGGGGTGTATTCAAGGGTCATCCGGACATAAATACCAAAGACTTTCCTTTCAAACCCTGTGACATAGCTAAAGTATCCTTTAACTCTGCTTTGGTCATTGACACAAATACCAGGATGTTATACCTCCTGAACAATGATGCATTATGCATTAAATTCATTCAATGTACAGACCTTGGAATTGAACTTCCTTACAGCATTGCGACTGGCAACAAGAGAAAAATATTTATTGGAAGCAGAGAATGTGTAGGAGAAAAATCAAGTACAAAAATACATGCCCTTATATACAAGGAACTGGTTTAAACGAACTTTTCATACAGTACCCTCTCCTAGAGTGAAAGTGAAACCTTCGACCATAGTACTTACATAGTATTTGGTGTATCAACTTTTGACTACCTTTTATTTGAACTAAATATTTCCCTAGATTTTGCTTGTATACATATATCGCAAAAAGGAATGTTATCCTCACAATAGTCTGTTTACCAATTACCGATTTGATTCTGTTATAACAAATTTTTAACACAAATCGCTTCCCTTTGTCATTCTTGGACAGGTTCTATACTGGCCGAAATTGGGCTTCTGCTGTTCTTAGCTTAACAAAAATTAAAATGTAATAAAAGAACAGAGTTCCAATGTCCCCCGCATTGCACATATTTTATCTATCCAAGGTACAAGGGCAATTACTTAAAAAAAAACTTTTTTTTTGTTCTTTAAAACTTTTTATAAATATCTTAGAGAAATGAAGGCTTCAGAGCAAATGCAATGCGATTTCCGTTATAATTAATATTTCAAAGAATTGCACACATGAGAGCGCTAACAATGCAATTTTCCATATAATCAATATTTCCAAGGGGGATAACTCTTTTAAAAATAATTGATCAGCACTGATTTTGGAACTCGTCCAAAACATTGCTAATATAAACCTATGATATAAATTTCATAAAAATCTGGCAAGAATTGTACATGTGATAGCGCTAACAAGACCGGACGGACGGACACCCGGTATTTCTATGTCCCGCGCACCGCGTTCCTCAAAGATTTGAAAAACTTGAAGGTTACACACATCACGCTTAGATAAATTTGCTCTTTCCGGTAGCTCTCCATTATCAATGAAAATGCATGCTCCTCCTACAGAGACTTAAAAATAGATCTCTAATTACAGGATCAATTACGGGAATTGGCAAATAGACCATTGTATGCCCAATTGCCACTTAATTTATTTATAAATAGCATTTTCAAATTTAGCGCGCTCAATCGTGAGCATGGCACTGCTAAGTACAGTTTTACCAATATTATCTAGCCGTAAATCATAAACGACAGGGTATTGTGGTAGAACCTATATTTTCCATTTATTCTAATAGGCAACGAACCATGTTTCTTGGAGGTAGTTTTTAAATATATCTATGATTGTATATAAAAAACAACATTTTATCTAACATTAAGGATGTTCGCTACTCTGTTTCAAAATAACAAGCTTTTCAAAAGACTATTATAAATTGATAGTATGTAAATAAAGGAACTGAAAAAGCAGAAAAAAATGTAGGGTCCGTGTGCTTGTTTTAGATATATAAGCCATTGAAAATTTGGCGGGAAATAATTCTCTCTAGACTTTTCTTACATTTACCATTGACACCCTTTTTCTTTCAAAAATTATGAAAAAATAACAAGGATTTTATAGGATTTTCAAATAAGGCTTTTTAAACTATTAGTAATAAAATTATAAAAAGAAAAGTAGGGGTTAGCGGGGAAAATTTTTTAATGACACTACATGGATAAAATCCAGAGGAATCCGAATATCTGGCAAAAATTCAAAAACAAAAGGATCGGGATGTTCGCCTGTCATGTTTTGGAATTTTTGTCAGATTTTCGGAATCCTCTGGTTTTATCCATTTGAATGCCTTAAAAAATTTTGCCCACTAACCCCCATTTTACTTTTTATAAATCTTTTACATGTATAAATATAAGGCATCTGTAAAAGTCTTATAAAATCTTTGTTATTTTTAATAGTTTGTGAGAACTTAAACTTGTCAATGATAAAGCTATGAAAAACCAAGAGAGAACATTTTCCCGCCAAAATTTCAATGGCTAATATCTCAAAAACAAGCACACGGACCTATATTTTTTTTCGCTCTTTTGGTTCCTTTATTAGACCCCTATCAATATATTCTAGTTTTATGAAAAGCTTGTTATTTTGAAACTGAGTAGCGAATTTCCTTAAATGCCTTTTAGAGTACACTGCAAATTGTCAAGCTCCACTGAAGATTCAGGTAGACAGTGACACTTGATATCATACATATGATATAAATTATTTATTTTTCACCTGTTTAAGTGTTTAGAGCAAATATTAAATTTCAAGAAAGATAGATAATGATTAAATCTGGTTCAACAAATCACTTTGAAATATAAACTGTTGACACAGAGATATGTCTCGCCTGTATGTAATTTTGATAGTAAAATGCAAATTTTAAAATTAAAATAACAATACTCATGATGAAGGGTCCTGAAACTGTCAGATTTGTCGGACATGACCTTATATGAAAGGTCACTGACCGAAATGGATGATTGGGATTTATATTATAAATTTTTTTTTACAGAAATATTTTCAGTCATTTAATTGAGATTGGATTTTTTTAATAGACATTTTGCACTCTTTTTTGTTTTAAAATGCTTCTCTGATAATAAAACTGCCTTTGTTGATGCCGTGTGAAGTTAACAGTTTGAAAAAAAGACCCCAAATTTCAAGTCATCTCAAGTGGACCAAAATTGTGAGATTAAAAAATTCGGGATCCTTGCTCACTATAGATTTTATTCACAGTAATATCAAGTCTAATACTGTTCCATTTGGAAAAAAAATAATGATTTCAACTGCAAAAACAGAATTTATTGCAAATGATTAATTTTTCGAAAGATGAGACCACTATTGACTGTAAGCTCAGTTAAGCTCTTTTTGTGTCTATTTATGATGTAAACCATGACAATCTAAATAAAGTTTTTCCATTATTTTTTTATTATCACTATTTACTTTTCATTGCCATCAATGTTAAAATATGTGTAAGTTGAGCTAAAATCTGCCTTCAATATAAAAATAAGAAGATGTGGTATGATTGCCAATGAGACAACTCTCCACAAGAGACCAAATGACACAGACATTAACAACTATAGGTCACCGTACGGCCTTCAACAATGAGAAAAACCCATACCACATATAATAGGCCCCGAAATAACAAATGTAAAATATTTCAAACAAGAAAACTATCAGCCTGATTTATGTACAAAACAATGAACAAAACAAAATCATAAACAGCAACAAACGACAAACACTGAATTACAGACTCCTGACTTGGGACAGGCACATGCAGAAAGAGCAGGGTTAAACATGTTTCCTGGCGCGCCAAACCCTGTATAACAGTTATTTCAAATTAGGATGCGTAAATAATTTGAGGCTTATATGGCTTGCATTGTATCTACACATAAAACTGATACAGAATACAAGAAATGTAAAACAATATTTTCCAGTAACATGCCACTTAATCAAGATATAGCTTTTGAATCTATGGATGATTCAAGTCTAGTTTAAACTGGTAATGTTATTTCATAGATTTGTAGTTTTTTAATGTATAAATCAATAATACAAAGTACTTGGTGGTGGCCATATTGGGATATACTGGGTTATTGGATAGATTGATTGCTTATTTGGTGTTTAACACAACTTTCAGCACTATTTGCTATTTTGTGGAAGCCAGTTTTTATTAGTAGAGGAAGCCTGAGAGAACCATGGCCTCGGCAAGAAAATTTGCAATCCTTGTCAATTAAGATTGGAGTCCAATGTACCTGCCACGAACTCGATACCTCATTGTTGACAGGCTAGTGCTACAGTAGATGAACTATTACATAACTCTGCCACCGAGTCACCCGAGGTCATTGGATAAATTTTTTAAACAACATCTTTATCAGAACTAGTTTCTATTGGATGATTTGATATATATGTTGTCTTATTCTTTGTCCTTTAATACAATTGTCACATTAAAGAGAAATCTAACCACGAATCTCAATAAATTCATTTCTGTTTTAAGATTTCAGGTTTTTCAGGAAAAAGGTTGAATAATAGAAAGTTTTAGGAAGTCTTTGATATTGTGGAAATATTAAGTTTTAAAATGTGTGCTATGATCGTACGACTCAACCTTCTTTTGCAGGAAAGTTTAAAGCCAAAATGTATGTTAAGACAGATATAATTATGCTCTGATGTTCTTTTGACACTAGAATGGCACCAATGAACCAACATATAATAAAAGAACAGATTTCCAATGTCCCCCGCGTTGCACATATTTTATCCATCCAAGATACAAGGGCAATAGCAACAACAACAAAAAACACTTTTTTTGTTCTTTAAAACTTTTTATAAATATCTTTTAGATTAGAAGGCTTCAGAGCAAATGCAATGCCATTTCCGTTATAATTAATATTTCCAAGGAGCATAACTCGTTAAAAATATTTGATCAGCACTTATTACTTATTTTCGAAAGTGTAAAAGACATTGCTGATATAATCCTATGATATAAGTTTCATAATAATCTGGCAAGATTTGTACACATGAGAGCGCTAACAATGCAATTTTCTATATTATCAATGTTTCCAAGGGGCATAACTCTTTTAAAAATTAATTGATAGGCACTGATTTTGGAACTCGTCAAAGACATTACTGATAAAAACCTTTGATATAAGTTTCATAAAATTCTGGTAAGAATTGTACACATGAGAGCTAACAATGCAATTCTCCATATTATCAATGTTTCCAAGGGGCATAACTCTTTTAAACATTAATTGATAGGCACTGATTTTGGAACTTGTCAAAGACATTGCTAATATAAACCTATGATATAAGTTTCATAAAAATCTGGCAAGAACTTTACACATGACAGCGCTAACGATGCAATTTTTCATATACTAATGTTTCCAAGGGACATAACTCTTTTAAAAATAATTGATCGGCACTGATTTTCGAACTCGTCCAAGACATTGCTAATATAAACTTATGATATAAGTTTCATAAAATTCTGGCAGGAATTGTACAAATGAGAGCGCTAACGATTCAATTTTCATTATAATTAATGTTTCCAAGGGGCATAACTATTTTAAAAATAATTGATCGGCACTGATTTTAACAGTCGTCCAAGACATTGCTGATACAAACCTATGATATAAGTTTCATAAAAATCTGGCAAGAATTTTACATGTCAGAGCGCTAACAAGACCGGACGAACGAACGCACAGACGGACGGACGCCCGGTATTGCTATGCCCCCCTTCCCGCAACTTTAAGAAGATGTGGAATTATTTTCAATGAGACAACTCTCCACAAGAGACCAAATGACACACACATTAACAACTATAGGTCACAGTACGGCCTTAAACAATGAGTAAAACCCATAATACATAGTAAGCTATAAATTGCTCCGAATGACAAATGTAAAATAATTCAAACGAGAAAACTAAAGGCCTGATTTATGTACAAAATAATAAACGAAAAACAAATATGATATACAGCAAAACAAAGACAACCACTGATTAAAGGGCTCCTGACTTGGGACAGGCACATACAGAATGTGGTGGTGTTAAACTAGTTTGAAGGCTTGCAACCCTCCCCTAACCTGTGACAGTGGTGTAACAGTACAACATAAGAAAAACTATAAAAATCAGTTGAAAAGGGCTTAACTCATCAGATCAATATAAAGCATGAATACATCTATCAAAAACACAGAGAGGACGTTCTTTTTTCAACAATAGTAATGGTTCACGATTGCTTTCCACATCTATATGTCCAAAATTGAATAAATCATTCACGATCATAGACATGTTAGAGATGATTTCCCCTCGAACATTTTCAAATTTGTTAAATAATATTTATTTTTGAATTATTTAATACAAATATTCTTAACATACTGCCTAAGAAGATATATACTAGTATCTCTATTTTGTATAAAATTTTAGCATGTGAATCCTTGTTGTTGTATGCAAGCTTACAAGAAACGATATTCATACCAATACAATAACGAATCTGCATTTAAAATGGGGCACAATTCGGTCCCCATATATATGAATGTCTGTAAATAAATATTACTGACAAAGCGTACAAATTGTACAAAGATGATGTTAGAGAGAAAAGTAATAGCTTCAATCATCTAATGACAGTTATAGTTAATATATCTTGCATATTTATCTTTTCCGTGAGAGTAGACGACTTCAAATGAGTTGCAGAAAATAAATTTCAAACGACCATTTGATTAAATTAAGATGATGAAGAAGACTAGTATATATAGTCGAAAAATTCATTAAGTACTGTCAACGGAATAGAAAGAACTATCAAAAGCATACACTTTCTCTTAACTATCATGATTTTCCCATTCAAGAAATAATTGTTTTTATATGGTGTACTACCATTAAAAGAAAAGCGAAAGATACCAAAGGGACATTCAAACTTATACGACGAATATAAACTGACAACACCATGGCTAAAAAGAAAAAGACAAACAGACAAAAAACAGTACACAAAACATAGAAAACAAAAGACTGAGCAACACGAACCCCTCCAAAAACTCGGGGTGATCTCAGGTTCTCCGGAAGGGTAAGCAATCTAACGATAAGATATTTCAGTTCGTCCAAAAAAAACTTTACACAACAATAAAACTCCATAAAGCTAATATATATTGCCCTCTAAATAACTCATCTCTTCTCATAATCAGATAGGTCACATGTAGTTGAAATGTCGATCATATAAAAATGTCTCGACCAATTACACGTAAAAAAACCTCATCATAGATACCAGGATTAAAATTTCGTATGCCAGACGCGCGTTTCGTCTACAAAAGACTCATCAGTGACGCTCAAATTATAAAAATTAAAAAGTTCAAATAAAGTATGAAGTCGAACACTTAAAGAGTATTGTAGAAATTAAAATAACAAAAACACCGAACTCCAAGGAAAATTCAAAACGGAAAATCAAATGACAAAATCAAAAGCTCAAACACATCAAACGAATGGAAAACAACTTTCGTATTCCTGACTTGGTACAGGGGTTTCCTTATGTAGAATATGGTGGATTGGACCCGGTTTTTAGAGCTAGCTAACCCTCTCACTGGTATGACAGTCTGACAGGTATGAGGCATAAAACATTTATCATTTGCTTGCTATGTCTCTAAATAGCCCCTCTATATGCTGTCCTCAACTGAATTCCATCTGCAAAGCCCATATCACTTTAGTTTGAAAGTATGTTTAGGGGGCAGGAGAAAACCCTGTCTTAAATTTATTAAAATATTCATGTTTCCGTTGTGTTCACATAGTTCAAATGACCTTTTATTTCTCAGTGCTTGCTCTACTAGGGGAACTCGTCGTGCTGCTAATGGTTAGTAAAATTCATTGAGTTGTTAAGTCATTTTCGAAAATGTCAAACAATTAGTAAAAGAGGACGGGATAAAGGCTACAAGTAGAACAATTATGTAGTCATCTGTGACATATATTCCATAAATAGGTCAACCATATCATGATTGTGTACGTGATGACTAACTTTGCCTTTAACCAATGGCTCAATAGTTTCGGTGTAAGCAGCTATCCTCTAAGTAAAAAGTATAATTTCTGGAATATCGTATCAGCTTGGATATCTATACTCCATATGCATGTTAAAGGATTATGCTAGCTTTTTTGCTTCTTTTACTCATTGAAAAGGATGATGGAATAGTGTGCTACTGTGTTAAATAATGGTATATGATGAAACACTATGAAAAGATAATATAGTTTACTCTTCAACATGAATTCACTGCAACTGTATAGTATCCTGTTCACATTGATAGAAGTCTACAATGCTTTGCACCATTATTCAAAATTAACTTTGATAGACTGGTGCATGAATTTGTAAACTAGGCGGTTTCTTTTTTTTTTTCGTTTTTGTCGAGCCTGCGACTTTTGTCGCAAAAGCGAGACATAGCGATCCTACATTCCGTCGTCGGCGGCGTCCACAAATATTCACTCTGTGGTTAAAAGTTTTTCAAATTTTAATAACTTTCTTAAACTATCCTGGATTTCTACCCAACTTTGACAGACGCTTGTTTATGATCATAAGATAGTATCCAGAAGTAAATTTTGTAAAAAAAACATCCTGTTTATCCGTATTTTACTCATAAATGGACTTATTTTTTTTGCCAGTTAACATTCACTCTGTGGTTAAAGTTTTTCAAATTTTAATAACTTTCTTAAACTATCCTGGATTTGTACCATACTTGGACAGAAGCTTGTTTATGATCATAAGATAGTATTCAAAAGTAAATTTTGTTAAAAAAAAATCCTGTTTATCCGTATTTTACTTATAAATAGACTTAGTTTTTCTGCCAGTTAACATTACATTCACACTGTGGTTAAAGTTTTTCAAATTTTAATAACTTTCTTAAACTATGCTCGATTTGTACCATACTTGGACAGAAGCTTGTTTATGATCATAAGATAGTATTCAAAAGTAAATTTTGTTAAAAAAAAATCCTGTTTATCCGTATTTTACTTATAAATGACCTTAGTTTTTCTACCAGTTAACATTACATTCACTCAGTGGTTAAAGTTTTTAAAATTTTAATAACTTTCTTAAACTATCCTGGATTTGTACCAAACTTGGACAGAAGCTTGTTTATGATCAAAAGCTAGTATCTAGAAGGAAATTTTGTAAAAAACAATTCCTGTTTTTCCATATATTACTTATAAATGGACTTAGTTTTTCTTCCAGTTACTGTGACTTGACTGTAAGTGTTGCTCTCAACCTATTGCAACTTATTCAAAGTTCTGACCAAATTGCAATTTGTTTTATAAAACCAAACTGTTCAACTGGTCAGAAATTTGAACAAACTGCTGTAGAAAACCAGTCAAGTCGTGAAAGAGCAAGGTGATAAAATAAATCATACTTACAATCCTATAAGACTTTAATTCCACTTCAATGTTATAATGAAAAATCAGTCTAACAGTTTGTATAGAAATTTTATTGTTATTGTCATGCTAAAGGTGATAGGTAGTAATTTTGAATTGCTATAAAAATGTCCAAACTAAGCTTTCATACAATTTTTCTTTTGAAAAATCTTCTATATTCATAAGAATCAGACATCATTTGAATTAAAACATTTTGTATTCAGTAAAATATGTGTGAAATTACAATTCTTTTTAGTAAGTTTCCATGGGAGATAATCAATTTTTCTTTCGAATAGTCTTCTATATTCAAGAAATAATGTTTTAGGTTATCTCCCATGGAAACTTATTAACAACATATTGTAATTTCACATATATTTTACTGATGTAAGATGTTTTAATTCAAATGATGTCTAATTCTTATGAATATAGAAGACTTTTCGAAAGAAAAATTGTATGAAAGCTTAGTTTGGACATTTTTATAGCATTCAAAATTACTACCCATCACCTTTAGCATGACAATAACAATAAAATTTCTATACAAACTGTTAGACTGATTTTTCATGATAACATTGATGTGGAATTTAAGTCTTATAGGATTGTAAGTATGCTTTATTTTATCACCTTCCACTTTCACAACTTGACTGCGATTTTCTACAGCAGTTTGTTCAAATTTCTGACCAGTTGAACAGTTTGGTTTTATAAAGCAAATTGCAATTTTGTTAGAATTTTGAATAAATTGCAATTGGTGGAGAGCAACACTAACAGTCAAGTCACAGTAACATTACATACAGTCTGCAGTTAAAGGTTTTAAAACATTTATTAGATTCATAAACCATCCTGGATTCTTACCAAACTTGAAAAGAAGCTTCTTACATTCAAAAGATAGTATCTAGAGGAAAATTTTTAATAATTATTTCCCCATTTTTGTTGAGCCTGCGACTAACACCAAAAGTAGGCGAGACACTGGGTTCCGCAGAACCCTTACGAATTTTTGTTCTTCTAATTAGGAAGTGCTTCACAAAATGATATTACTGACATGACTGCAAGTGTTTCACTCAAACCTATTACAATTCATTAAAAGTTTTGACAAGATTGCAATTTGTGTCATCAAATCATTATGTTTAACTGCTATTTTACTGTATTGTCCAGGAGAGCCAGAGTCAAGTCATCAGTGGTACTAGTTTAAATGCAAAATGAAAGTATACTTACAATCCTATTAGTATAAACAAGAAGATGTGGTGTGATTGCGAATGAGACAACTCTCCATCCAAGTCACAATGTATAAAAAGTTAACAATTATAGGTCAAAGTACGGCCTTCAACACGGAGCCTTGGCTCACACCGAACAGCAAGCTATAAAGGGCCCCAAACCGACTAGCGTAAAACAATTCAAACAGGAAAACCAACAGTCTAATCTATATAAAAAACAAGAAACATCACCTATGAACCACACCAACAAACAACAATCACTGAACAACAGGCTCTTGACTTAGGACAGGTGCATAAAAATGCAGCGGGTTTAAGCGTTTTAACAGGCGCCCACCTAGTAGATTTGATTCCACACTTCATCATTACAATAATATTACAGCTGAATTTATATATATACATCAATTGGAAAGTTTAATGGAAAGCAAGGTACTTTTTTCACAAATTCTCATAAAACAGTCAAATTTACCGTTTTAAATTATCTCTTATTAAATGTCATTTTTCTTTAGAAGTTTCAAAGTTCTCCTTTTTGTTTGAATTAAAAGTAAACAAACAAATGAAGAAAAATGCAGGTCCTGAGATATAAAGAAGGCTCCATTTAGTCCAGAATCAAGAATTGTATTCTACTTTTAACAGCAAAACAAGTACCAAAGACTAATGAATAAAAGAAGAACCAAGGGACATAATGATTGCTGTACATCACAGATTCAATACAAAAAGGGGGAGGAGTTTACCTCAAAGAGGGTAGGAATGGGGTACCCCACATGACGAATGACGGTAAACTATTTGTTATATTAAGGTTAACATTTCACTCCATTTGACGCTAATGGTAACTACAAAATGAGAGTTGATGAATGACGATAAAAAATTAAGGCTTATTTGACGCTAACAGTAGTGAAAAACGGATGTTTTATTTGACGTTTGACGATAATGGGCATTTCGACCCTCCTCAAACCATACACAATTTCAAAAATTCAGGCTCAGGGAGAAACTTTTCAAATATAAAACACAAGGAAAGTACTTCTAACTTGGATAACAGCACTTGAAATTGACTTGTTTAGAGAGACAAAATCAAAATCATGGTTTACAAGAAATGGTTTTATTATCTATAGTAGTCTTATCAAATATAGAGTACACAACGAAAAACAAGATGCATGCATCATTATATATTAGTATCATCTCTCAACAAACACTGGCTTATATAACATAACTGTTCCTATACAACATCAAACTGGCAGTGTTACCATAGAAATATCACCTGTGTTATCATAGAATTATTGTAAACAACAAATATATTATTATGTCTAAATTGTATTACTTAAGAAATTTCTCTTACAACAAAGAATATAGAATATTACCAACAATCTACATATACCATTGTAGAATTTTTATCATTCCATAAGCAATTTGTATTTTTAATCTCAACACAGACTATCATTTTTGATGCTAGGACATCTTATGAGCATGAAATAGCTCGATTTGATTTTTTTTTACCTTTTTCCAATTCTTTCCCATATGATATCATTTGACAATGTCTCATGTGAAAGTGATTCAAGTAGCATATCAATTCAAACTTAACATAAATGCATTAAACACTGTATGAAGAGGAAAAACAGTTACCAATTGCAAAAAGACTTGGTATTAAATGCAATAAAGGATACAAAAAATGTTCATGAAGAACTTCTCTTACAAATAGATGCTTAACTATCTTTACAAACTTCTCCCTATTAATTTTGATTATCGTGATAACAGTGAAACCTATAAGAACCTGATTATCTAGATTAAAATAAACTGATTAGAACTTTATTTGATCTTTAACAGCAGATTAGAATTGTTATACAGAAGAACTTTTATAATTTTAACATATAAGGGACTATAGTTATCTAGTGATAAACCAAATGTTCCAAAACCAGGAAATTCTCATGTCTTTTGCATTCTTGAGAGTTTGAAGAATGAAACTTATCAGGTATTTTATCCAATTTATGAAAAATATGAATTAAAATAAAGAATCCACATTTTAAAGTTATCACATCCTTGAAAAGGGCCGCTGAACATGCAGGACTTCAGCTTATTTGAATAAATTCAAACAGGAAATGTTGTTTCCCCCTCCAAAATGACAAGAAATCATTTAAAACATGCACTTATTTTCTCTCTCTCAAAGTAGATATAATAAAGTTATTTCTAATAATTTGGACACGAACTGGAAATGGTTAACAATTATAAGGGGTAATCATTTTGTCAAACATGAATTAATTTGAATTTGTGATAATATAAATTTTAGAGGTTTTACAAAAAGTTGTAACACTTAATCTATGGATTGTACATCTAACCAACACATGCAAATACAAAATTTCATTTCACAAGAGTATTTATATCTATTAATTCTCACAACATATAGATCAATAAAAAAATACCCAAAAATATAATGGATTCAAAACATATCATATTTGAGGGAAAGTAACTTTTGTTAGTTTATTGCTAACACATAAACAATACCTTGGGAGGAATTCAATGAAACAAAAATGTAATTAATTTGTTAGCACAAAATGACAAACCACAAATCAAATTCAGTTTCCACGATATATATGATAAGAACTGGTACTTTTGGTACCAAATCACTGAATTATAAGTCAGTGTGTAGAAGAAAAACTATCAATAAGTAACAAATCCATTATTACAGTCACTGATCACAAACATTAAGAGTGGTAACCATTCAATTAAAAGAAATAACAATAAAAGATTCATATATTCAGTATTTAAAGGAAACCTGTCCTACAAAGATTGTATAATAATTTTCACTGATCACAAACCATACAGGTTGCAATAGATAAAATGAAATAACAATAAATGTATCAAAAAAGTTAAATTTCCATTTTAATAGCAAGAAACCAGTCCCTGTACAAAGATTCCATTGTAACTGTCACTGATCATACGGGTGTTTTATGTTAAGCATAAAAAGGAACGGTATAACAAGGTCCGGTGTGTCCCAGCACTAACTTTGGTCCTCAATCGTTATCAGCTGCCACTATCTGCCACTGCATCACAGACATATCATTGCCTCCTGTTGACAGCACACGAGAATCATCAAACAGGAAGGCTACATTGGTCACATGACTACTGTGAGCTTTGAAGGACTGACATTTTGTCTGAAGAAAATACAAATAAAAATGTTAAGTCATGTATTACTTTGCCTTTTCATGAAGTACAATGTATTCAAATTAAAATGTTGCAAATATTTCAATTCTTATGTAACAATGTTTTGTTTTTTTCTGTATCACTAGAATTCAGAAGCTTTTAATATTCAATGTCACATGAATCCTTTTTTTTTCAACCTAACTTGCAAGTTTAAAATTTGAAAACTCCACTCAGATACATTACTTTATGAGACTATAAAGAGGGTGGTAAAGGGTTATTTTCGTGCAACATGATCGCCGTTTTTTATTTCACGTTCAACGTGTTTTTACTTTTTTATTTGCTTTCAGTCGTGCAAGACAGGTGCTTCGTTCAACGTGTTCAGCTTATTTGATTTTATGTGCATCGTGACTTTCAAATGCTTATTTTGCGATTTTGTTTTTTGAAAAAGCGGAAAGGCCTTTGATGTTGTTTCTTATCGATTTTGCATTTTGATAGTTAAGAAGATTGTTATATACTTTTTTAAAAAGCCGTAAACCATATATATCATAAATGTGTATACTAAATCAGAGAATTTATATATACAAGAAAACAGTGACTCAGTCACAAAAGGTTCACATCAAAGTCTTTATTTTTCGTGCAACGTTCATGACAGAAATTATTTCACGTTCAACGTGAAATTATGTCTTATTTCACGTTTTTTCCGTGCAAGCACCCCCCCTTTACCACCCTCTATAAACTATGATGTGAGGAAAATGTTTAGCATCTCCCAAATATAGAATTTTACAGAAGTTTTGTGCTAATGACCTTATGCTGATCTTTTTTTTTTTCAAGTCGAGAAACATGAATTACCTTAGGCTGACTACATGGATACTTGAACAGATTCACCTTGCCAAAATCATCAGCTGATACCAGTAGTGGTTTTTTATTGGCTCTTGCACAGTTGTTTATGTCAGTTCCATCAGCACCTCTTGGCCAGATTCCTGGAAACATTTATCAAATGTTACATATCTATTAATAAACCCATACCGTTTAGAAAGCTATAAAAGGCAGGACAAAATGTCACACAATTCAAACAAAAGGCATGATGTATGTACATAACAATAAAGGAAATCTATCTGTTACCAAGTACATAAAAGCAGAGAGATTCATTTGGAAATTATTTGTGTGTACATAATGGATTAGACTATGCTATGAAATCAAAACAAATCTTTCTTGGCACTGAAATATTGTGAGGACATAGACTTTAGTTGGTTAAAGTTTACAGATTATTTTACTATGGAAAAAACAACAAAACCAAAACAAGTAGTAATATCATAATGAACAAGTAGAAAATTATTTTTTTTCCTCAAAAATTATGTTACTAGAGGTGTTTAACGACCTTGACATCCCATGAGGGTCTCACTTGGTCGTCTTTGCAGTCTCAACATCCTTATAAATGACCTTCAGTCCAATCAAAATACCAAAACTTTCAACTTGGCTATTCAGAATCGAAAGAAGTATGAGTAGTTTCATTGGTCGTATTATACATACCTGCCAACTGTCACTATTTGCAAGGGATTTCCCCCATGTAGGCTCCCAAATGGAAATTTTGAAAGATCAATTTTGTCCACAATTTAAAACAAAATAAAATGCTTCGCTGAGCGCAGCCTGATACAACCACAGTGGTCGAACCCTGAACAGTTGGGGCAAATTTGGACACAATATTCAAGCTTGATACTATCTGAATTTGAATTGTGATCAAATTTTTTACATAATATAGGTTTCTGCAACAAAATAAATGTGGTCAAAGATCTTACAAATCTATTGCGCAATACTGTGCAATTGAAGATTTCTTCTTGAAACTTTTCAAAAATTTGAAATTTTGAAATTTTGAAAAAAATATATGAACCCTTTAAAAAAAAAATTGGAAACCCCCCCTTCCCCCCAAACTTTTTGAATCCCCCTTTTAGCATTAACCATCAAACTCAATTGCAGTCTTTCCTTTGTAGTATGGAACCTTGTAGTACAATTTTAGAGAGATCCATACACTTAATCACAGGTTACTGTCTGGAAACTAGAAAAATGCTTTTTTAAAATTAAAAAGCCTCCATCAGCAACATGAAATAGTAATATCTAAAAATAAAATTCCTTCACATACATAATCATGGCTATAATTAAATTACCTTTATTAAACATTTTTAAAATAGTAACTTCTAAAAATAAATTGACAGCTAATCACCTAAAGACAATACATTTCTTTATAAATAATTTACAAGCAGTGCAAGGGAGGTAATTTGACAATATGTGTTTGAATTACCTCCCTTACACTGCTTTAAAATTATGTTTTGTACATAACTAATTGTCCATTAACCTGGAAACCCTTGTTTTTCCCCCTTTTTTGCCCCTAATTCCTTAAGTAATTGTCCATTAACCTGGAAACCCTTGTTTTTCCCCCTTTTTTGCCCCTTATTCCTAAACAGTTTGAGCCATAACCCCCCCGCAAAGCAAATTCTTACCATCCCTTTGTGATATGGTAACTTGTGGTATAGTTTCAGAGAGATCCATATACCATTTCACAAGTTATTGTCCGGAAACTAGAAAAATGCTTATTTGGGCCCCATTTTGGCCCCTAATTCCTGAACTGCTGGGACCATAACCCCCAAAATCAATCCCAACCTTCCTAAACAAAAGTTATTGTCCGGAAACCAATGTGTCTTCGGACAACGACGAAGACGACGCGATACCAATATACGAACGCAAAATTTTTGCGGTCGTATAACAATCAATTTTACCATGGCTGTAGGATTGTTAAAGTATGAAGCAGCAAAAAAACAACATTAAAATACATTGGAAGGTTTTGTAGGACTATAAGAGCCATCTTGCACATAAAACCCCAATGGGCATTTTGAAATGTTGGCAGGTATGCGTATATAATATGAAAATAACATCCCATCATAGGTTGTATCGCCATTGTTTAGTATGTTGTTAACCAATAGCAATGTTCTGGAGTATGACTTTAAAATATTACCCAGAATGCTTCAGAGTTTGAAAGGGGAATTAAGCAACACCATTTACGTATTGGTCTGTTACTGTTATATATTTACCTGCAGTGGCAAACGACAAGGTACAGTTTTGTGAAGCCCATTCAACATCTCTTAATGAGGAAGATGAGGTCTCTTGCTCACAACTGGGTATGTTCCCTGAAAGATTAAGGCAAATCATTGACACATACTACCAGTTATCAGGTTGATTTAAAATGAATAAAGACCATTTGTATGTCAATGAGACAGCAACCCAAAGACAGAAATAAACAAATGATATCTAGAATTTCATTTAGCTGAACTGTATAAATTATTTTCCAATCATTTATAAATATAATAATTGGTCATTTGAGTAAGCAAGAAGTATGGATGCCTCTTATCCAAGGATCCCGAAAAATTTTCTCATAATTTTGGTCATTTTTAAAGGACTTGAAGGTCAGGCTCCATTTTTCAAACTGTCAAATTCATACTAAAACTCATGGCATAAACAAACTTGAATTGAAGGTTTCAAAATATTTTCTTTATGAAATTAATTATAGTCTTTGTAAAAACCTATAAGAAAGATTTATGGAATGCCAAACTTCAAAACTGAAATGATTTTAATGACTTAATTAAATAGTCTTATCTATCTAAAATATGGACAACTGATTGTGCCTGAAAGCATTGAAATATTAATTTAACCCTAAAAAATTTCAAAAGCATTTTATATATCAAGGAAAAGATATTTCATACAGAAAAAGTAACATAAAATTACTTACAGAATAGAACTTCATAATCTCCTGAGTTACTGCATATATATTTTCCATCAGCTGACCAGTCAATATGTGTAATAAAACTACTATGTCCCTGTAATTATTTGGAAAAGAGGTATTTTATATAAAAAAGTTTTTCTTTGTAAAAGTGACAGTCTCATTTGACAATTTTAAGACCATCAATGTCATCTTTTTTTTTAAAGGCAGATCCTATAATTTTCACTTTGAATAAAGACAACAGAGGTCTCCACATCAATTGCAATACAAAGACTTGTAAAAATTTTAATAAAACTTATTATAATTTCAAGCTTTCATTATATCAATGGTACAAAAGTCATATAAATTATTTTACTTTACAGTATTGTTTCCTGTATTTAGAAGTCAAATATACTTTCGGTTTGATCGGTGTTTTTCCTTTGAAAAGGTAAACAAATTAGAATTTGCTTATTTACCATGCCAATGACAGCTACCAAAACATTACATTTGATTGAAAAGTAACAATTTTATGTCCTGATTAAAAGATTTGCCGTTTGCAAGAATCATTTTAAAATAATTTGAACCTTTTAATACATTTCTGTTGGAGAGAATAATTTTGTTGTCACTTAAATGTAAAAGCTTTAAGGATCAAATCCATATGCTCTAGATATTACACTGAAAGGAAACACACTAACTTCTTTCTATTTATCTTCCTCCTGTGTATAGGAGCACATTAGCTATAATTGATTAGCTGGGGTTTATGACATTCATTAATAAAAACAAGTAAACTAGTGTGAATAAAACAATAAAAGGGCATTGCTTTAGAAAGATATTTAATTTATGATAAATATTTATATACTTATCAAATACAAAAGTGATTATTTTTAGGAAACTCAGTGGTACATGTATATGTTATAGTATATAAATAAATGGGGAATGTGTCCATGGAACACAGATGATGCCCCCACTTGAATATCATATAAAGTTATAAAGGGACATTACTGAAGAACAGTAAAAGTGATGCTACCCATATTTGTACTTGATCTGAGTTTTGTGGTAATAAGTATTGTGTATAAGTTTCATAACATTTGGTTGAGGCAAACTTGTTAGAGAACAGAAAAAAAAAAATTCAGCAATTTTTCCATTTGTAAAAGGGCATAACTCTAAACAGTAAAAGTGACGCCCCTAAAATTCAAACTTGATCTGCATTTTGTGGTAATAAGCATTGTGTATAAGTTTCATAACATTTGGTTGAGGCTAACTTAAGTTAGAGAACGGAAACGAAAAATTCAGCAATTTTTCCATTTGTAAAGGGGCATAACTCTAGAACTAAAAGTGACGCCACCAAAATTCAAACTTGATCTGTGAATTGTGGTAATAAGCATTGTGTATAAGTTTCATAACATTTGGTTGAGGCAAACTAAAGTTAGAGAACGGAAATGAAAAATTCAGCAATTTTTTCATTTGTAAAGGGGCATAACTCTAGAACGGTTAAAGTGACAACATCAACATTCAAACTTGATCTGTGTTTTGTGGTAATAAGCATTATGTATAAGTTTCTAAGTTTCATAACATTTGGTAAAGGCAAACTAAAGTTAGAGAACGGAAACCAACTTTTGGACGTACATACATACGTACAGACGGACAAGGGTAAAACTTAATGCCCCCTCCGCTATGGCGTGGCATAAAAAAAAACTCTTAATACTAAACTTGGACCGAAAAAGTTGGTACGCCTTATGACCTGACATTTTCTTCTTCAATGCAGGTCATAACCTGCATTTTCAGTTTAAGAGGTTGACAGGTATGCAAGTACATGTAATAATATTTACACTTGAGCAATTCCTCTCTCTCCTTTTGGTCATTTCTGGAATGATTCATACCAGAGAAAATAATGTTATGCCTTTTCTAAAATAACATGTAGTTTTTCTCTTTGTTGTTTATTACAATTTTCTCAACTTCAGAAGATCATTTTGTAATGCAATTCAAATATTTTGGTAATTCAAACAGCACTTAATATCATAACTAACAAGAAATGATTGTAACAGGATGCTGTTACGAAGTCTCCCAAACGAAGCTCCCATAATTCGTAATTCCCAGGGTCGCCTGACATTGGGCAACGTCCATTGAAAATTGGTTTGGTCCAGTAAAGTTATATGCATTAGTGATGCCTGGGGACTAACCTTGTATATCATTCAAATCATCTTGGCATGACAAACCAGAATATATATGGTTTAGGGGTGGGGATCTCAACCATTTACAAGATACTAGAATATTGGGGGTGGGGAGGAACCCCTGGGGACTGGCCCTATACGTCATTCAAATGTTCATTACATGACGAACAGGAATATATATGGTTTAGGGGTGGCGATCTCAACCATTTACAAGATATTAGAACATTGGGGGTTGGGGGAACCCCTGGGGACTGACCGTATACGTCATTCAAATGTTCGAGACATGACAAATAGGAATATATATGGTTTAGGGGTGGGGATCTCGACCATTTACAAGATATTAGAACTTTCTCAAATGGCAGGGGGTCGGGATGACCCCTGGGGACTTACCCTGTATATCATTCAAACCATCTCAGCATGACAAACCAGAATATATATGGTTTAGGGGTGGGGATCTTGACCACTTAGAAGATATTAGAACTTTCTTAAATGGCAGGGGGTGGGGGTGACCCCTGGGGACTTACCCTGTATAACATTTGATGTGCTTTATCATGACAAACCAGAATATATATGGTTTAGGGGTGGGGATCTCGACCATTTACAAGATATTAGAACTTTCTTAAATGGCAAGGGGTGGGGGTGACCCCTGGAGACTAACCCTGTATTTCATTTGATGTGCTTTATCATGACAAACCAGAATATATATGGTTTAGGGGTGGGGATCTCGACCATTTACAAGATATTAGAACTTTCTCAAATGGCAAGGGGTGGGGGTGACCGCTGGGGACTAACCCTGTATAACATTTGATGTGCTTTATCATGACAAACCAGAATATATATGGTTTAGGGGTGGGGATCTCGACCATTTACAAGATATTAGAACTTTCTCAAATGGCAGGGGGTCGGGATGACCCCTGGGGACTTACCCTGTATATCATTCAAACCATCTCAGCATGACAAACCAGAATATATATGGTTTAGGGGTGGGGATCTTGACCACTTAGAAGATATTAGAACTTTCTTAAATGGCAGGGGGTGGGGGTGACCCCTGGGGACTTACCCTGTATAACATTTGATGTGCTTTATCATGACAAACCAGAATATATATGATTTAGGGGTGGGGATCTCGACCATTTACAAGATATTAGAACTTTCTAAAATGGCAGGGGGTCGGGATGACCCCTGGGGACTAACCCTGTATATCATTCAAACCATCTTAGCATAACAAACCAGAATATATATGGTTTAGGGGTGGGGATCTTGACCACTTTCAAGATATTAGAACTTTCTTAAATGGCAGGGGCTGGGGGTAACCCCTGGGGACTAACCCTGTATTTCATTTGATGTGCTTTATCATGACAAACCAGAATATATATGGTTTAGGGGTGGGGATCTCGACCATTTACAAGATATTAGAACTTTCTCAAATGGCAGGGGATCGGGATGACCCCTGGGGACTAACCCTGTATATCATTCAAACCATCTTAGCATGACAAACGAGAATATATATGGTTTAGGGGTGGGGATCTTGACAACTTAGAAGATATTAGAACTTTCTTAAATGGCAGGGGGTGGGGGTGACCCCTGGGGACTAACCCTGTATTACATTTGATGTGCTTTATCATGACAAACCAGAATATATATGGTTTAGGGGTGGGGATCTCGACCATTTACAAGATATTAGAACTTTCTCAAATGACAGGGGGTGGGGATGACCCCTGGGGACTAACCCTGTATATCATTCAAACCATCTTAGCATGACAAACCAGAATATATATGGTTTAGGGGTGGGGATCTTGACCACTTACAAGGTATTAGAACTTTCTTAAATGGCAGGGGGTGGGGGTGACCCCTGGGGACTAACCCTGTATTTCATTTAATGGGCTTTATCATTTAGAACATTTTCAATTAAAAAGTTTGTGTCTATCACGAACGGTTTTCAATTTATAATCATTTGAAAATTTAAAAAAATAAAATCCCATAGGGTTCTATAGTAAAACCCTCTTTTCTTTTTGCCCCTCAAAGTACCCCTTTATAAACCCCATTGCAAAAACAAAACCCTGATTGCACCACTAGACATGTTAGTCTAACATATTGTGAAACCCTAAGTTAATCCGACAAGCGGTTTTGGAGAACGGGTGCGGACAAGTTCAAATTTAAAAGCGGCGGAAGAAGAAGAAGAAGAAGAAGAAGAAGAAGAAGAAGAAGAAGAAGAAGAAGAAGAAGAAGAAGAAGAAGAATAATAATAATAATAATAAGAACTGAGCAAAAACAATAAGTCTTCCCAAACTTCGTTTGGGAGACTTAATAATAAATATATCAACTTACATGACATCGACCAATACGATTGTATTTCTGTCCACCAGCCTCGACATTGTAAACATATATATAATTGTCCCTAGAACCAAGAGCTAAATGGGATCCATCTTAAAAATTAAAAAAATAAAACGTTATTGAACATGGATAGTAACAACATTACAGGAACAAGATGTATTTCATCAATTCAAAATATGCAGAATCTTTTTTATAACTTGATTTAGGCATTTTGTAGCCCAAAAAATTAATTTAATCCAATATCATCTGCATTTCTCGATGGAATTCCCCTTAAAAAATAATGAATATAAGTTGTTTCCCCCCTTTCATAATTTATCAGTGCATTTTATTCTTATAACAAAAGAGCTGTGTAAAAACATGATTTATTTCTAAATTTTAAATTTTGCTGAAGAAACAGATTTTTTTTTTTTACCATAAAATACAAATTTAAATTAATAATTGACTTGAATTATTTATTGTTTACTTTTGCACATGTATAAAAACGTTAATTCAAATATGAGCTTGTAATTGGCTTTTTTATTTTTTATTTGCCATGATTTTGAAATTATGAATAAGGTATTGGTATTGATGTGAGTCTAGGTGAACTTAGGTTGTTTTTGTACAAGATACTTTTGTTTGGTTGTTATATTTTTTTATATTTGGTCATGCAAACCTACGGTCTACAAAAAATGTCAAAGGTTCCACAGAACCCTGTTCCTCGTCTGTGATTGCTGCCGTCAGTGTTAAAGTGAGAAGTTGACCACAAAATCCAAGTCCATTTTTCCGAAAAATATGGAAATAATAAAATCTTTTTTCTTCCAATGATATTTCTTAATCATGAAAAAAACTTCTGTGTAAGTTTCAGAACATTCATAAATAAGGTTTGACAAAAAATTAAATATTTTTATTCTTATTTATCCCAGATTGTATCTAAATTTTTAATGCAAACAAAAATCCATGTATCAGTAAAATATGGAACAATGAAATAAAATATTTTCAAATTTTGCTACAAATACTTTCTTAATAAAAAAGTCTTTTATCAAGGTTTCATAAAAATCCATGAAGATTTGACAGCTATTGACGTCTTAAAAAACCTTTAACCACAGATTGAACCTAAATGTTGACACAGCCAACAAGGGAATGTAGGATCACCATGTCTCATTTCTGTGACAAAATATTGCAGGCTCGACAAAAAAAATTATCATAATTTATAATAAATATTACCTGGTGAAAATAAACAACATTCTATCTGTTCATTGCCATCAGTATGCTCAGCCACTATACTGTGTGTTGATGTATCTATGGCAACCCATCTGCCTGTTTCCATGCCAACAACTACTGCACTGCCATCTGGACTGAAACAACATGAATGTCCAGGGTCCTGCAAAACAAACAGTAAATTGAATTAAACAATATATTAAATTGCTTAATATTGTATTTTCTATATTGTAAAGTACTCAATGTTTTAAAAGAAGATAAAATGATATTAATTAAATAACCTACAATTGTATCTCTTATCAAAGTTGACATTTATGCAAACTGTGATAGAACATTTTAACATTTCTTTTTTTTAAGTAATTAAAAATATAAATTATGATTACAGTCATTTGTAACAAGATATCTAAATTCCTTCATAAAGCAGACAGCAAAGCCTATTTTTTTTTAAAACAAATACATTGCCCTTATGTCAGACAAATTATTAGCATTAACAACAATTAAAGCACGTTTTGTTACAATGTCTCTTTGTAATGCCTTTCCATATGAGGTTGCACATCAGGTCTTCAGACTTACCGGTAGTTCTAAAGACCACACAGCTGTCTTAGCTGTACTGTCCCACATGTGAATCATTTTATCTGATCCTGCAGTCAAGAACTGTTGTTGTGATGGATGACAGGCAAGTCCCCACAACTCATCAATATGGCCCTACAGCAAGAAGAATAAGTATTAAGTATGGGCTAGACTCAATAATTCATCAGAAAGTTAATATAACCTACAGTATAACTTATATCAGTATTACTCTGGATTCATTATAATCCTTGGGATACTAATTTTCGCGAATATAAATTAACCACAAATTCAAACGGTCACAAAGTACACATTTTCTATAGGCTAATATGCAAACTTTGGCAAACCACAAAATCAAATATCCAAAAAATATAATATTTTTTCAATCCACAAAAATACATGAATCCACATCAATACAGATTCAAAGTAACTGTAACAACAAACTAATTTTTCAGCAAATACAGAATTTAATCTGTGCATTTATTATTGAAAATCATGCACAAAAAATAACCCAAGATTTATCTATGTGATTCCTACACATTTCGTGTTACAATATTATTTGCACAGATTAGAATGGAGTTTTCATTTCTACGATCTTCCTCCTGCTGTATTTCTAGCAGAAACTAAGACAGAATTATCAGATCACCACTGAGATTGCTTAACATGATGTGTATTTTTTTCTTTCATCTATATCAACTTGACCTAATCAATGCCTGAACACTTCCCTGAACTAAAGGGCGAAGCTCTGGGTCAAGTAACCTACACAGTATTGCATTCTTTATAGTTCCTATTAGATTTGGTCTGCTAAAAACTTAACGCATACCTGAACTATAGGTTGTAGCTCTAGGTCAAGAGATCCACACAGTATTACATTCTTAGTAGTTGCAATTAATACTGGTCCAACCAAATCTTAAACATACCTGAACTAAAGGTTGAAGCTCTAAGTCCAATGATCCACATAGTATTGCATTTTTTGTAGTTCCAATCAATGTTGGTCCCCCTTGACCTTTACTGATCATTCTAACACCACCATACTCTTCACCTATCTGGAAAAATAATAAGTACATCAAATTATTATTTTTGTTAATTGCAAAAAAATTTTTTTCAAATAAATAAATATATTTTTTGTGTTTATCAAAATATTTGACAAGCAAAACAGTTCACAAATTCAAAATCCATGTCATTATAAAAATAACTAGATATCATTGAGATGGGAGCCATCTCTGTGGGCCCTGCTGTGAATAATGCGTGGTAAAAAATTTGTATCTTTATCATTGGACATGGGGTTGTCAAATGAAACCAAAGTTTTTGACCTTGACCTTTGACCTAGGAAGTTGTACATAAATTATGACACACCCTCTGGTGTTGGTTTATATACATATCAAGTATAAACTTTGAAATCATAACGGTTCTCAAGATATAGAGCAGACAAGATCTTTAACATAGGACATGGAGTTGTCAACTAAAACCAAAGTTTTTGACATTGACCTTTGACCTAGGAAGTTGTACATACATTATGACACACCCTCTGGTGTTGGTTAATATACATATCAAGTATAAACTTTGAAATCATAACGGTTCTCAAGATATAGAGCGGACACGATCTTTACCATAGGACATGGGGTTGTCAACTAAAACCAAAGTTTTTGACCTTGACCTTTGACCTAGGAAGTTGAACATACATTATGACACATCCTCTGGTGTTGGTTAATATACATGTCAAGTATAAACTTTGAAATCATAACGGTTCTCTAGATATAGAGCGGACACGATTTGTTACGGACGGATGGGCGGACGGACAGACGGACGGACAGACTGATCACTATAGGGCGGCCGCCATTCGGCAGGGCCCTAATTATGAATGACAGCAATTGTTTACAAGAAAAACCAGTACCGCTAGATCTTTTAACTGAGACATAAAATATAACTAATAACCTCTTTTGTGAGTCCAGTACGTTGATATGAACTGTCCCATTGTACAATTTTTCTATCCTTTCCTCCCCCTGTTAATATGGTTCCATCCTCTGGGTCTACACATATAGAAAATATTCCACCTTCATGTGCACCAGTTATTGCTTGACCTGCCTTAGTGCTTCCTATAAACAGAAAACATGACATGTTCAAATATTCTAATCCTTACTAAAACATCACATGTGTCATGTCACCCAAATTTTGTAGGAGCTTGCCAATATTAAGCAAATATGGTTATCTGCATTAGTATACAAATAATGAGATATGGTATGATTGCAAATGAGACAACTATCCACCACAGTTCAAATATAGAAGACAAAATCAATTATAGGTCACTGTACGGTCTTCAACTATGAGAAAAACCCATAGTATAGTCAGCTATAAAAGGCCCAACATGAAAAATGTAAAAAAAAATCAAAAGAGAAAACTAACAGTAACTGCCTAATTTATACAATACAATTTACTAAAAACAAAATTATAAAAGACATGAACCACTGAATTAAAGGTTCCTGACACCAAGTGTTAAGTATTGGTACATGTATTTTCATCATTAGTTAGTTATCTTCAGCTTCCTCTTGTAAATTTTTGCAAGTTTTACTTTTCTGTACTGTCTTCTTCAGTAGTCTATTATTGACATAATATGTAATTATCATTTTTTGCTCAGACAATATGTGTCATTATTCAGTATTGGCACATGAGTTTTCATCACGTTTATTTTTATGTACAGTCAAATTAAAATTGAATAATTGGTTTTTCAAAGAGAAATTTGAAGTTCCCATTGAATGAACTCCACAGAGAACAATCGCTATTGTACTTATTTCAATGGAACAGTACACTTTGCAAAAGTTTAAACTGACAGGCAAACTCCAACTGATTATGAGGAAAGATTGCCTTTGCAGTAATACGTGTATGTAGTCTAGATATTAAAGCATACCCCTACTTGAGTCACTTCTTACAAACATATAAACCTGTTACATACATTTTTTGAAAATTTTCAAATTATTGTAAAAGCTTTAAAAACAGAAAGAATGGTTTTTCTTTGAAGCACGATACCTGGAGAGTATTTTCATATGGTATTCAAATAATGCCTAAATTTATCTGTATACAAAACTAGAGGCTCTCAAGAGCCTGTGTCGCTCACCTGTATTTACTGATGCTTTGGAAATCATGTAAAATAAGGTTAAAATCATAATTAATAGTATTAGATATTATATATTATAATGATATCTAAGATAATAACAAAAAACTGCAAAATTTTTGTAAAATTACTAACTCAGGGGCAGCAACCCAACAACGAGTTGTCGGATTCGTCTGAAAATTTCAGGGCAGATAAATCTAAATCTGATGAACATTTTTGCCACCTGTCATATTTGCTCTAAATGCTTTAGTTTCAGAGATATAAACCAAAAACTGCATTTCACCCCTATGTTCTATTTTTAACCAAGTTGGCCATGATGGTTGGAAGGCAGGGTCATCGGACATATTTTTTAAACTAGATACCCTTATAATGATTATGGCCAAGTAGGGTTAAATTTGTCTCAGTAGTTTCAGAGAAGAAGATTTTTGTAAAAGATTACAAAATTTTACAAAAAAATGTTAAAAATTGACTATTAAGGGCAATAACTCCTAAAGGGGTCGACTGTCAATTTTGGTCATGACAACTTATTTGTAGATCTTACTTTGCTGAACATTATTGCTGTTTACAGTTTATCTCTATCTATAATAATATTCAAGATAATAACGAAAAATTGCAAAATTTCCTTAAAACTACCAATTCAGGGGCAGCAACCCAACAACAGGTTGTCAGATTTGTCTGAAAATTTCAGGGCAGATAGATCTTGACCTGATAATCAGTTTTACCCTTGTCAGATTTACTCTAAATGCTTTGGTTTCAGAGATTTCAGCCAAAATCTACATTTACTGTACCCCTATGTTCTATTTTTAGCCATGGTGGCCATCTTGGTTGGTTGGCGGGGTCATCGGACACATTTTTTAAACTAGATACCCTAATGATGATTGTGGCCAAGTTTAGTTAAATTTGGCCCAGTGGTTTCAGAGGAGAAGATTTTTGTAAACAGCTAACGACGACGGACGACGGACGCCAAGTGATGAGAAAAGCTCACTTGGCCAGGGCTTCCAAAATTATTTTTAGCCAGCCGGACATTTTATATATTATCCCGATTTTAATCCCTTAAGACTAAATAAACAAAAGGCAAGTATGGTATTCAGTTGCTGAGTTGGCCATCCCAATGATTGACATTAAAAAAAAAAGATATTTAACTTTCTTTGATTCAAATTCGAAGTTCTGACATAAACTGTTAAATTGGCAGTGCATCATTCGAAGTGTGCAACATCAGCGTACTTATATCTGCCTTAGACTCTTTATTTGTGCAAAATAACGTTGTCAAAAACTTTACATTCGTTAAAATCTTATACCGGATGTTATCTTGACAATGGTAAAACATGGACCAGAGACGGATACGTAAATTCCGTGTACGTTTGCAAAGCATGAATGAGTGTACGTAGCTCTTTCTACGTTATTTCTTCAAGAAAATATTCGAAATAAACGTGAGATAAAGGTATCAATGACAATTTAAGCATTTTTTGAAGAAATTAGGATGCATAACTAATTTTCACACCTGCGCACATGCGCACACGTGTATTAGTTCAAACAGAGACATGTCTCTGGTTCAAACAACGTGGTTATGACGATTTTTCATTTTCACCTATTTAATTTTTTCATGAAATCATATTTTTTAACGTATTTCTAATAATTTAAATCTTTTTGACTAAATTAATTAGATGCAAACCGCTGAAATGTAAGAAAATAACTTTGGATAGACCGATCAATGTCCGGTTCAAAATAGTTTACCTGTCACCTGAACAGGTTAATTTCAGCTGTTCGACAACTAATAAGCCTTGAGTAAAATTAGAAGGTATTTAAGTTGGGGTTGTTTTGATAGTACTTAATGATCATGTCACTTTTATGACCGGAAATGTGTGGCTGTTAAAGGCAAAAGGTTGGGTCAAAAAGATCGCGAATTATGTTAAAATGACCGTCTCTTAAGAAAGCCTTGAAAACTAAAAAGTAGATGACCGTTTCATGCTTTGCCCAGCCGGACTTTTACCGGACATTATACAAATGTCCGGAATATATGACCGTTTTGGAAGCCCTGCACTTGGCCCTTCCGGCCAGGTGAGCTAAAAAAGGAGATTTGGTATGATTGTTTATTAGACAACTTTCCACCAGAGACCAAATGATTTGGATGTAAGCAACCTTAGGTCACTATACTGCCTTCAACAATGAACAAAACCCATACCGTAAAGTCAGCAATAGAAGACACAACATGACAAAAAGTAAAATAATTCAAAAGGGAAAATCAGCGCCCTTACTAACTATAAATCAATAAACAAACATGAAAATGATTAATGTATGATAAATGACTTCTCTCAGTCTAGTGAAGACAATGTGTTTATGTATATACCAACCTTTGGGCCAGACAATTATGCTGCCATTTGAGTCACCAGTTATAACGTCACCATTCTCAGCAAAAGCAATACACAACATGTACTTTGGCTTGTCTATTTTCTGTAAAACAAAACATATCTTAATTTTTCACAATGAGATGATGGTTAACCAGTAAATTTAAATTCAAAACAATATTGATGTGGATCAACAGTAAAACAGAAATATTTTATGATTTGTAATTCATCAAAGTTCTAACTTTAACAGCTCGACTAGTTAAGTCAACATATCCACACGCATTCAACACATTTTCACACCAGGTATCCTGATCCGAATCACGAGGAGGAATTACACTTTGTTTAGTGTAATTCGTTGTATCTGATTCCCACGGAGGATTATGCTCCATGGGAATCAGATCCAGATTTTACTTATCCAACGTGTTGCGTTACAGTCTTGTGTAATTGCTCCTCAGGAATCAGATCTCTCCACGGATTTCGGTTGCAATGTTGGGGGAAAAAATAAATGTTTTATGTTTTCTGTTCACAACAAAATCAATTGAAAACAGTTAATTTTTCCCCAAATTGCACAGATTTTAAGCTTGATTTAACTTCTTTTAGTTGCTCTTACTTGACCGAGTACCAGAATGTTCTACCACAGAGGAGGTTACCGACCTATTAAAAAATTATATACTCAGTAGTCAAAAGTCAGTAATATGAAAAATAGTCTATTAAAAATACATCAAGACTTGTTATTTATACATTCAACACTTCAGAAGAAACTTGCTTTCTACTAAAAGACACACTTAATTTGGCAAAAACCTTACATAATTCAGGCATATATTCATGGTATTCCTGTTTGAAATGCAAGCAATATTAATAACAATCAAAATTGATAATGAAAATATTTGTAGAAATTAAAAAAAAGCAAAATAATAGGTTTAAGAAAAATGTTCTGGAAAACTCCCATGAAAATTCATATAATGATAAAATGTCAAGGGAATAATATAAAACTCAAAGTGTTGAACAAAATAAAGAAAATTAATAACCTTGAACCATATTTACTTACCCAAAACTTTGAACAAAGAAAATTTATTTGTTAATTTTCATATTAGTGATTACTGTTCAGTGATAGAAACTGGTAGATACAGAAAAATTCATATTTGAATGTATACATATAACATAAATATGATGATTGCATGACTAATATTTATTTTATTTGTTGATTGGTCATTAGTCATTGACCCATATTGGTGTAACATGCTTTTCAATATAGCAATTATATTCCTGGTCTTTTTACCAAATATGTATGGATCATATAAATATTATAAGTCTTTTTTAGAAATTGACTAAACATAAGCGCAAACTTGTCTTTTAGAACGAAAGTATAAAGGTCCAAAACAAAGTACAAGACATTTTTCCAAATTCTGGGCTAACTTCACACACTGCAACAAATAACATACAGATATACAATGTATATGATCAAGAAACTTCTTTATAAATGGGCTTTGGACAATCAAAATGATATGTTTTGCATCTTGTTAACATGTCTAACATTTTTCTTCTAATGAACAAAACCCAACATAACTGTTATTTTTCATCTCTGAATTTTTCTTCCTGAGCATGCTGCAAAGTTATCACAAAAGTGTCTGTGAACTGAAATTTTATATCAATACGCATATTTGTATATTTTGATAAAACAATCTATCAAGATTTATGTACATAACATAAACCATGTAAGAGGAGTTGTAAAGAACGAGTAGGTTCAAAAATTGATACCTTTAATAAAGAGGCACAAATGTTGATGACTGTAATGAAAATTCTGCTGCAAAATATATTTTAATAGTTTGCTGTCAATTGGCCAGAGAACAATAAAGCTTTTCTGGAAAAAAAGACAAATTTCGACATAGGCCCACAAATGTGTATATACCTAATGACTTACATCATACACGCAATGACTTACGTCAAACACGCCACTTTTTTTAGTCAGTTTTCCAGATTCCAAAGTCCAGAACTGTATGTGTCCTTTGCCTACATCTATTATACTATTTGGTTCTGATGGGTGAAATTCTACTGCTAATACTGGATCTTGACTACCCTAAAAGGTAAGTCAAATCATGAATAAAATGAACTAAAAATTAAAGATACTTAGTTGAGAAAACACAAAATTCAAAACACAAACTAGTGAACTTCTTTTCAAAAAAAAAGTTTTTTTTAATCAATTACATAGGGTAATTTTTAATAAATGGCTGGAACAATTATCAAATTAATTCTCACACAATTTCTGAATATATTACTCAGTGATGACATATTTCCAAAGCAGACAATTTGAAGCAGTATAAAAGTATACTAGAAATGTGTTATTTAACAAAATATCAATACTCTGTGATATGTAGTTGTTTAGCACTAGTCTACAATTAAAAATTTAACCCTGAATAATACATGATTTAATCTCTCTGACCTAATTTTCAACAAAGGCATAGCAAAGAATGAATTTTATAATGACTAATAAATGGAGAATGTGTCTATGGGCAACAGATGCCCACACTTGTAAATGTGCATGACATAACATTTGGTTGAGGCAAACTAAAGTTAGAGAACAGAAACGACAGATTTATCAATTTTTCAATTTATAAAAGAGAATAACTCATGAAAGGTTAAAGTGATGCCACCCAATTTCAAACCTGATCTATATTTTGTGGTAATAAGCATTGTGTATAAGTTTCATAACATTTGGTTGAGGCAAACTAAAGTTAGAGAACAGAAACCTATTTTGGGGATGTATGCAATGGACAGACGGATGGACAGACGGATGGACAAGGGTAACTCTTAATGCCCCCTCCACTACGGTGAGGTCATAACAATGAAATCCCATACGATTTTCAGCTGTGTAAGATGATAGCATCTCCACATACTTTTAAAATTTCAAGACTATGACTACTGAAGTTTAGGCACCAATTGGACTTACTGATGCTGTATAACAAACTAAAGCACTAATTTTTATAACTCTTCTATTCCTCAAGATTGTTGTCCCGTTACCATCTACCCTAATATCTCTTCTTATCCAAGAATTTTTCATATTCAATTATTGTATTAGAACTTTTCAAAAAATGATATCAGTTAACAAATTGTTCTTTGTCTATTCTAATTTCTATATAGTTGAATGCTATTTGTTTTCTCAAATTTTACAGTTGTATAAGTATTGACTGAAAGCAAACTTTCAATAATTCCATGCTTCATTCAAAATCAGCAAAAAATTAAGCTTTCATACTCTATTAACACTATAAATGTTGTAAAAAATGTAATCATATACTGTCCATTTAGAAATGCGTGTGTGTTTTATTATTATTGCAATTGTTGGAAAAAGGACAAAAATGTGAGATAAATTATTAGAACATTAGGAAATGCTGCATACAAATCATGCCATCAAATTATACGTGATATAGAATGCAAGTTTTCATTTTACAAAACCTATCCAATCGCATTTTCAAAAAAATAAAAACATCACAAAAAGTTCTGAATTTATAGTATATACATTTTAAATCCCACTTATTCATACAATATAGAACAATTTTACAGAATACTTACTTTAGTATTAGCCAGCTTGCGACCTTTCTCCACGTCATACACAAACAGTTCATGTTCATTACTTTCATCAACAACACACAATTTAGCTCCGCCATCCTGTAATAAGTAAAAAAACAGTTGCTTAAAATAATCACTGGTTTTCTGTGGTTGATTAAACGCAAAGTCCAAGCATTCCTTACAATAAAATGATTCTGTTTTAAATTCTAATTGCAACTTGTTATAAATTTGTTTTATCACAATGTGTGTGTTTTTTTCTCCAACAAATCAATCATAACTATATGGAAATTTTGTATCTTAAAAAGGTAAGATTAGAAAACTTAGCATTTGCATGAAACCATCAAACATGACCTTTGTGTCCTATGGCTCTCAAATACTCAACAAAAGAAATATCCTACTAGATTCTATATTGTCTTGCATCTGCTTATCAAGGAACTTTTTTTTCTTTCAAAAAGATCTTCAGAAGACTTAATTTATCATATTTGATTTCAAGAATTAAGACCTTTTCAAGAAAAAAATTTCAACAGTTTTCCTAAAGGCAACAATGAAATACTTAATCAGAAAAACAGTGACCATATTGGTTGCTTGCTCAGCAACAAAGTGACAACACATGGCAAGATATTTTAGCATACTTCTTACAGACTCAAATTTAACTATTTGCTGACAGTCAAACTGGTGATTAATTAGTCTGAAGTAACAAAACTCAGTTAATTATAAGAAACACATCTGCATTTAAATTGTTAAATTTAAATAGAGTGTTTCTCTGACACAAGAAAATATTGACTAAAGAAGGATGGATGCAATGACAGAGAAAGTACACCAATTAAGGGGGAAAGTTTATTGGTCTTTGGTCATGCAAAATAAAAACAAAATCTTACCTGTTTTGAAAATGACAAGCAGCAGACAGATCTGTCAAAGTCCCCGATCCCAATGACATGCAGTGTGTTCAGACTAGTAGAGTGCCAGATACGAACATGTGGCTGAAAAGTAAAATTTTACATTATGGTTCATGTTTAAATAGTGTCAATTAGAAAAATTACAGGGAAAAAAACATTTATATCATGATATAGTTTTGAAGACTGTCAAAGTTTAAATAATTTTTTAGAAACAATTTGTTGATCACCAATGTTCAGTAAATACAGATCTACAAAAAAAGACATTCAGCTTTTGTCTAAATGAATATAAAGGAATATTTTATTGAAAATCTGCTATAAAAATCAAAGAAATGTACAATGCAGCATTTCTTTCAAGTCAGGTGACCCCTAAAATGTGATTCCAGCACTACAAGGATTTTAAAATTATTTTCGTACAAATTTAAGCAAAACTGACAAGGAAAACTTTAAAAAGATGAGCTTTGAGCTATAACAATGAACAATAATTACACTTTTCTGAGCATTTCTTCAGAATGTATTCACACCTTTGTTAGTATTGTAGTCTAATAATAAATAAAACTTCTGTCTACAACTGTTTGCCATATAGAGATAATAGATCATGTAGATAGCTATATGGAAGCACTATGTCTTTATTGTTTTTGCTTTAACATGTTACATACTTCATCTTTGAACTTTTAGCCTTGTTATTCAGTGTGATATGTGTTCTTTGAAGGGCATTTTTTCAAAAGGTCTAGATATGGGCTTTATTTTTGTTGGAATTCAGGATTTGAGCCTTTATTATTGTGGATTTACCATCATCGGGACTTGGGAATTAAAAGATTTTTTTTTTCGGGGTTCTTGAAAAGAATGCTGTATTTTTTCAGGAATTTGGGATAACACCCCCTCCTTCCCCTCCTCTTCTTTAAACAACTCCAATGTTTTGCTATTAGACACATCAACAGATACACAAACAGATGATTATAAATAACACAACACACACACACATGATTTTTGTTTCCTATATAGATCTTTCATCTATCAAGGGTATAACGAAACTTTTGATTCAAGGATGAGTGGCATGCATCTAACATAAATATATTCCCTAGTCTACATATGTGTTATTACAAATTTACACACACTGGTGACAAACAATATCACATGTATAACATTATAAGTATAATTACTGTTTCTACATATGTGCTAATACAAATGTATACACAAAGGTGACAAACAATATTACATGTGCACTCATGTGCTGTTTACCTTTTTATCAGACTCTTCTTTCTTTTTCTGAACATGAAATAAAAAAATATTAAAACAAAAGGCAAAAATAATATTTAATTGAAATATTAATTTGCATGTTACAAAGAGCAAAGTAAAGAGTAAGGCAAAGAATAGAAACATAACTAAGCAACTAAGAAGAATTATTTAAACATGAAATAAAAGTAACTAAGTCAAGAGTTATCCTTTTTGAATAAAATAAATCTACTCATAGTTTCATTTGCGGAAAGTAGCAAAGAAAGCAAAGTACAGAACAGAACAGGAACTAAATAAAGGTACTGAGTCAAGAGAAATGATCTGTCCCATTACAAGTCAGTTTTTGGAAAATAGAAAGGTTTTGTCATCATTCAAGCAATAGGTATTTCGTGGATTTTGTTGGTTGAAGTAAACTAGGCACATTATAACTGTACCGGTAATAAACACAGAACCCTATGCAGGGTCTCTGTGACTGTCAAATTAAAGTGGAATGTTGACTGTCGAAAAACCGCAGGGTCTCTGTGGCTGTCAAATTGAAGCCCAATGTGAAATGTCAAAAAACCAAGTCTATTTATCAGTGAAATATATAAAAAGAATTTTTTACTAAGAAGGAATCAAGCTTTTGTTCAGGCTCCTCTCTTGATTATGAAGAAGATTGAATCAAAGCTTTGTAAATTTCCATGAAGGTCTGATATAGTTATTGATGCCTAAAAAAACTTTAAAACCCAAACTGTATCTTAAAGTTAACTGCAATCATTAAAGTTGAAAAAATGGAGAAAAAAATATATCAAAATTTTGATCCAGATGATATCCTTTGATCATGATGAAGCAACATTCCAAGTTTCATAAAATCCTATGAAATCTTAGGGAAAAAAAGTTGGATAAAATCTGTGACTTTTTCACAATTTTGTGTCTTCTTATATTAAAATAAGCCTTGAAAAAAATGAACAAATACTTTACTTCCGACTAAATTTGAAAAAATATCCATCTGTAAAAGGTTACTTTATACTATGTTATTTTTGCAGAACACCACAAAATCTTGAAATGCTTGCTATTTAAATATGCAAGGTGCAGAAAAATGAACCCTATACTTTATACCTTGTCCTTTCTGGTAAACTTGACAGGAGTAAAGGATAAATTCCTGAAATTAAGTATTTGAAACATAATTTTCTTCAACCATTAAAAAGTCCATGAAATTCAGAAAAAAAAATAAGTAAATTTAACCATAAATAATCCAAGAAATTTTGTTAAAACAAATAAAAGGTAAATACTGACCTTAGAATCCTTTCTGTCATGGCCAGCAACTTGACCAGTGGCTACTCTCACTTTATCAGGATGAATTGCCAAACTGAAAATATATAACAATAATCAGTAATAGTAATGTCTTCTAGATAAAGATATTATTAGTTTTAAGAAGATACATAAACAGAGCTTTGCAGAAAATTCATCAATATTTGTAGGATAACATTTTTTAGGGATTTCTAGTGTAGGCTGAAACAATAAATTGAAATACTCAATAAAATACAATTTTTAAGTTACATTGTTGGTAGCACAATATTCCCTTTTTACTACTTTTCTACTATAATAATCAAAAAGCTTTTTTTAGGCTGAACATATATGACACAAATAGAGGTACTATCCAGGTGTCAAAAAGATTTGATTGGAATAGTCTCCCTGATAAAGAATAATTCCAAATTTTGTACTTCTATACTAATAAAACTGATCCAAGTTTAAATAAGAGTTTAACTTCAAATCAAATTTGAAGGGTAACATACTTTTTATTAAACAAGGACCACAACTCTGCACAAAATCATCAGACCGGAACATAATTCGAACTTGATCTGTAATTTGTCAAGATAAAACTATATACCAAATTTCAAATCAATATCTTCAAGCACGAAGAAAAAAAGTGTGGAAAACTGATTTGCCGGACTGACTGATGGACAGACAGACAGACAAAGAAGACCCATTGGTGGCCTTCGGCTGTTGTCTGCTCTTTGGTCGGGTTATTGTCTCTTTGACATATTCCCCATTTCCATTCTCAATTTTAAAGAAACAGAAAGACGGAGTGCAAACCTAAATTCCCCTTCGACTTCGTCGGTAGGGGACTAATAACATATATTTATTGCCTGTCATAATTCCTATCAAACTGACATAAGCACCAAACTTAACAATTGCTGATGCCTATGCAGCCGGAAAAGCAACACCTATGTTTAGGATTGCCCCAAAACTTCATGGACCTAAAGTTAGACAAGAGTGCACACGCTGAAATGTCTCGCCTTCTTTACTAATCATTGATATTATGTTGATAGTCCTAAATATAAAGCTTTATTACAACTGTCACATAAACTTAACATTAACCAAGTAAACTAAACATTGACCAATGAACCATGAAAATGAGGTCAAGGTCAGATGAACCATGCTAGGCAGGCATGTACAGCTGACAATTCTTCCATACAACAAATATAGTTGACCTATTGCTTATAGTTTAAGAAAAACAGACCAAAACACAAAAACTTAACACTGAGCAATGAACCTTGAAAATGAGGTCAAGGTCAAATAAAACCTGCGTGACTGACATATAGATCATAAAATATTTCCTTACACCAAATATAGTTGAACTATTGCATATAGTATTAGAAAAAAAGACCAAAACTCAAAAACTTAACTTTGACCACTGAACCATGAAAATGAGGTCAAGGTAAGATGACACCTGCCAGCTAGACATGTACACCTTACAATCATTCCATACACCAAATATAGCTGACCTATTGCATGCAGTATTAGAAAGAAAGACCAAAACTCAAAAACTTAACTTTGACCACTGAACCATGAAAATGAGGTCAAGGTCAGATGACACCTGCCAGCTAGACATGTACACCTTACAATCATTCCATACACCAAATATAGTAGACCTATTGCATACAGTATAAGAAAAACAGACCAAAACACAAAAACTTAACTATAACCACTGAACCATGAAAATGAGGTCAAGGTCAGATGACACCTGCCAGTTGGACATGTACACCTTACAGTCCTTCCATACACCGAATATACTAGACCTATTGCTTATAGTATCTGAGATATGGACTTGACCACCAAAACTTAACCTTGTTCACTGATCCATGAAATGAGGTCGAGGTCAAGTGAAAACTGTCTGACGGGCATGAGGACCTTGCAAGGTACGCACATACCAAATATAGTTATCCTATTACTTATAATAAGAGAGAATTTAACATTACAAAAAATCTGAACTTTTTTTTCAAGTAGTCACTGAACCATGAAAATGAGGTCAAGGACATTGGACATGTGACTGACGGAAACTTCGTAACATGAGGCATCCATATACAAAGTATGAAGCATCCAGGTCTTCCATCTTCTAAAATATAAAGCTTTTAAGAAGTTAGCTAACGCCGCCGCCGCCGGATCGCTATCCCTATGTCGAGCTTTCTGCGACAAAAGTCGCAGGCTCGACAAAAACTGTTGAAATAATTGGTTTGGAAATTTTCAATGATTAATAACCACTTTTAAATAGACCTTTTTTCTGTGATATTTAAATTTAGCTATCGATTATGAATCACTGTACCAAAAAGAGAGAGGGAAAAAACAACAATAAAACACATATAACTGGTGAAATAATGTGGACTTTAAATTTTCTTCATGGATTTTAAACATACTGATACATCACTTGAATGTGTTTAGTTAATTCTAAAAAATCCTTGTTAGAAAGACAGGTTGAATAACTTTTTAAATACATTTAAAAAAAAATGTAATAAAATTCTTCCATTCATGTCGAGGATATTTAATAATATTCAGATTTCAAAAATAGTTTGCAACCTGAGGTATATTTACATAATTGCACTAGGACTATAATATTATATAACAGGAAGGAGAATTAGGTGGAACTAAAATCACTATAATAATGATTAAAAACTGGTTATCTTTGATAATCCTAAGGATCCAAAATTTCATTCATGTCAAGATATATAACAGTAAAGAATACTTATTCAGATTTTAAGAAGAAATATGACATAACTGCTCAAGGCTGCTTCAATAGTTACAACATATTACGGTAGTGGGAAGGTGTCACAAAAATTCAATCATCATGGCATCGGCATCACAAGCACCAAAAATGTGTGAATTGTGTGATGAAAACAAAATTCAATGGAAGTGTTTAAAATGTAACTCTTATCTGTGTACCAAATGTTGTAAAATTCATCAGAAATTAATATCGTCAGCCGAACACAAGATCATTGCTATCGAGGATATCGGAAAAGCTAAGATAAAAGATCTGGAAATCGAAAAAGATCTTTCGAATATAATGTGCAAAGAACATCCAGAAAATACCTGCCAACGATTCTGTAAAACATGTGAAACCGTCGTATGTAAAAAGTGCATTAAGAAAAATCACAAAGCCAAACATGAGGTGGTTGATATAAAAGAGGGTTACTTTCATAGCATAGGAAAAATAACGAAAACAAATTATAAACTTGATATAGAGGTCTTAAATCTTGCAACAGGTATGTCAACTCTTGAAGTTCTTACATCTGACGAAAATGAAAAATTTCAAGCAGAGAAACAGAAGATACTTCAGAGAGATCAAGATCTTAAAGATCTTATTGATAAGCATACTAAAAAGCTCTTATGTGATCTAGACCTAAGATGGAATATTTTCTTTTCGTCAATCAAAGACGAAGTAGATCATGGAAAAAGGGAAACTCAAAATCTAGAAATCAAAAACACAGAATACAACAAAGTCTTAAAATCCCTTGATGCAAAAGACATATTCTTAACAGCTGAGTACATAAAGAAATCACCAAACACTAAAATAAGACCTATCAACACATCCTACACTCATCTTCCGTCATATGTTCCAAGGGAAGTCACTCCTAGCACTATATCTCATGGAACTTTACAAGAAACAACCAATAAACACAATGAAAACATTAATAGATGCTTTCAAGTTGAAAAACACTACACAACCAACTTTAAGGCAACTGATGAACTTGCTTGCAAAGCTGACGGTTCACTTTGGATAGGGGATTATCAATCTAAAAAGTTATATAACGTCAAATGGAATGAACGTTCTTTTAAAACTACCCAGTCCTTGGAGGATATTAAGATTTATGATATGGCCATAACATCAAAAGATGACCTACTTTTGGCAACCTTAGAAACAACTCTTAAAGTTATTCCACATAAAAAACCAAAACAGTTGATTTCAAAATTCGATGTGTCACCACATATTATAAAATGTGTTCATGTTTCGCATGATGATAAAATATTAGTTGGAGTTCGCAAACTTGGACCTGTATTTCCCATCATTGGACCTAGACAAGTGATCGTTATGGATATGGAAGGAACCCATATTAAAACTTACAATAACAATTTGTTTTCTTATCCATTCAAAATAACCACGGACCATACAGGAACAATATATGTGATTGACTGCACCTCTGAAAATCAAAATGGTCGAGTTGTGGTTATAGGACCGGATGATTCAATGAAGGGTGTATTTAAAGGTCATGCGGACATAAATACCAAAGACTTTCCCTTCAAACCCTGTGACATAACTAAAGTATCCTGTAACTCTGCCTTGGTCATAGACACAAATACCAGGATGTTATACCTCCTGAACAATGATGCATTGTGCATTAAATTCATTCATTGTACAGACCTTGGAATTGAACTTCCTTATAGCATTGCGACTAGCAACAAGAGAACAATGTTTATTGGAAGCAGAGAATGTGTAGGAGAAAAATCAAGTGCAAAAATACATGCCCTTGCATATAAGGAAGAGGTTTAAAAGCTTTAAAAAAATTCATATAGAAGTCTCCCTTGTATTAACAAATTTTATTAATTTGTTTTTATTAATAAATTGAAGTAAATGATTTGTCATTGTGATGTTGTTTGCTTTTCTTTTTTTTTTTGGCGTAAAAGGGGGGGGGGGGGGGGGGGGGGGGGGGAGAGTGAATATTGTAAAACATTCCAAAAAATTCATTTAGTGAGGATAACAGTTCTAAATGTGATGTTGGAAATAATCATTATAACATTTAAGATATTGTTAAATTGGGATATATATTATGGGAAATACATATTGAATACCGTTGATATAGTGAAAAATATTCCAAAGAATTCATAAAGTGATGATAATTATTTTACATGTGATGGATCTAATATACAGACTTTGCACCTGTTTAATTGGGATATATATCTCGAGAAATTGAAGGGGCATTAGCAACGAGATATAAAAAAAAATAAAACATGATTTTTTTTTTTTTCAATCATTAATGAAAGTGAAATAATGAAATAAATATTCGCTTTTACTTTAAGCAGCCAGCTTTGTTCAATTTTGTCAAAATAAGCTTAGAAACACTGATGATGAATTATTCACTTGCAAGTGAATAATTTGACCTCATTGAATCTGTATTCATGTGACCTTCAATTTAACCCTTTAGTTGGAGATGGGTTGTGCATGTATTCATCTATTAAAAGGAAAAGAATGTCAACATTGAAAGTGACTGAATCGATCCACAAAAAATCATTCTTATACAGGTAAAAACGATGACAAGCATACTTTTTAACCTACAATATGAAATCAAACAGACTTAGAAAAATCCAATAGCACGTGGTCATTATCTATTTATATTTATATTTATGTTTATATGGGTTATATGACGGCAGTCTTTGGAGTTCATCTCTCTAATTAGATGACGTCTAGACAAGAATACACACCAAATGCTGATACATATCATTGAGTCCATGCATTGTTAATTGTTTATTATACTTTTTGTTATTTGGATATACATTTTAGTATGTTATAAATCAAATATGAGAAATTTACTCAAATTGGTGAACATGAATTTGACAGCCAATGCCCCTTTACACTGAATACTGTGGATATAGAAAAATCTAGTGATATAGTGAAAATTGAAATCAAATATTTCAAAAAATTCATAAACTAGGGAAATATTTTAAAATTATTTAAAATATTGAAACTGGAATACTGGATAAGATATCAAACTACAGTATCAATAAATAAATAAATCAGTTCATTAATAACTATTATTTTGATTTTTTACTATCCAAAAACACTTTGTACAAGATTCCTGCCAATAAGTATTGGACAGATGTCTAAATGAAGGAATTTATACATTTGTTCTGGTGTTAATTTATCCTGGAAAATTATGGAAAATTTATAAATAATTAAGATTTCTACACGAGTAGAATTTTTTTTATTTATATCCCATAAGAAAAATCCAAAGAGATAAAAAAAGGTCTTTTCAAGAACATAATAGATAGTATTTGGTTATGAAAACTTTAGAGAAGGAAATGTAAAGCATTATGAGACATACAATTAAATACCCGGCAGGAAAAAAATATATTCTTCTTCTGGCTTGCTCACTATAAAAATTTGAAATGACGGTAAATAAAAATCTCTCTTTTTCCTTCTAAACTTCAATAAAATGCTCCGCAGGGCGCAGCTTGATACGACCGCAGAGGTCGAACCCTGAACAGTTGGGGCAAGTATGGACACAACATTCAAGCTTGATACAGCTTTGCATTTGGATTGTGATTAAATATTTGACACAGCATAGGTTTCTGACACAGAATGAATGTGGTATAAGAACTAAAAAATTTTAAATTGGACATTCACCTATTATGGTCCAATATCCAAAATCTAAATACACGGTTAGATTCAGCATATCAAAGAACCCCAAGAATTCAATTTTTGATGAAATCAAACAAAGTTTAATTTTGGACCCTTTTGACCTCAATGTGGACAAAGTTGATAACGGGGCCCAAAAATCAAAAATCTAAATACATGGTAAGATTCAGCATATCAAAGAACCCCATATATTCAATTTTTGTTGAAATCAAACAAAGTTTAATTTTGGACCCCGATTTGGACCAACTTGAAAACTGGGCCCATAATCAAAAATCTAAATACATGTTTAGATTCAGCATATCAAAGAACCCTAAGAATTCAATTTTTGTTACCGGTAAAATCAAACTAAGTTTAATTTTGGACCCTTTGGACCTTGATGTAGACCAATTTGAAAACGGAACCAAAAATTAAGAATCTAAATACACGGTTAGATTCGGCATATCAAAGAACCCCAATAATTCAATTTTTGATGAAATCAAACAAAGTTTAATTTTGGACCCTTTGGACCTCAATGTGGACCAATTTAAAAACGGGGCCCAAAATCCAAAAACTAAATACACGGTTATATTCAGCATATTAAAGAACACCAAGAATTCAAGAATAAAACCCCATTGAAATTGGTCAAGAAATAAGCAATTTATGCGAAGTATCTTCTTTTGCACAATACTGTGCAATTAAATATTTCTTGCTATTGCGCAATACTGTACAATTGACAATTTCTTGCTATTGCGCAATATTGTGCTATTGGATATTTCTTGCTATTGCGCAATACTGTGCAATTGAAGATTTCTTGCTATTGCGCAATACTGTGCAATTGAAGATTTCTTGCTATTGTGCAATACTGTGCAATTGAAAATTTCTTGCTATTGCACAATACTTATTATATAATAATTTACACATCCTGTTTGGTGTGTATCTCCTACCATATCATTATTATTTGCTTTTAAATATAAATCAGAAATAACCAACTTAAAATGGAAAATTTTAAAAGAAAAAAAAAAGGAAAAAAAGAAAAAAAAGGAAAAAAAAAAAAAATCCCCCCCCAAATTTTTTGAACCCCCTTATGATTCATCACCCCCAAACTCAATCCCAGCCTTCCCTTTGTGGTATGGTACCTTGCAGTACAATTTCAGAGAGATCCATACACTTGAACACAAGTTATTGTCTGGAAACTAGAAAAATGTGTTTTTTGGCCCCTTTTTGGCCCCAAATTCCTAAACGTTTCGGGCAATTACCCCCAAACTCAAACCCAGCTTTCCCTTTGTGATATGGAACCTTGTAGTACAATTTCAGAAAGATCCATACACTTACACACAAGTTATTGTCCTGAAACTAGAAAAATGCTTGTTTTTTGCCCCTTTTTGGCCCCTAATTCCTAAAATATTGAGGCAATTACCCCCATCATCAATCCCAGCCTTCCCTTTGTGGTATGGTACCTTGCAGTACAATTTCAGAGAGATCCATACACTTGAACACAAGTTATTGTCTGGAAACTAGAAAAATGTGTTTTTTGGCCCCTTTTTTGGCCCCCAATTCTTAAACGTTTCGGCAATTACCCCAAACTCAATTCCAGCTTTCCCTTTGTGATATGGAACCTTGTAGTACAATTTCAGAAAGATCCATACACTTACACACAAGTTATTGTCATGAAACTAGAAAAATGCTTGTTTTTTGCCCCTTTTTTGGCCCCTAATTCCTAAAATTTTGAGGCAATTACCCCCATAATCAATCCCAGCATTCCTTTTGTGATATGGAACCTTGTGGTACAATTTCAGAGAGATCCATACACTAACACACAAGTTATGTCTGGAAGTTACAAAAATGCTTATTTTTGACCCCTTTTTGGCCCCTAATTCCTTTACTGTTGGTACCATAACCCCCAAAATCAATCCCAACCTTCCTTTTGTGGTATTGAACCTTGTGGTAAAATTTCATAGAGATCCATTCACTTAAACTAAAGTTAGAGTGCGAAAACCAATGTGTCTTCGGACAACGACGACGACGATGCCAACGTCATACCAATATACGACCACAAAAAATTTTTTGCGGTCGTATAAAAACACAAATGAAGCCCCCGCTTGCACATCATATAAAGTTATAAAGGGACATAACTGAAGAACGGTAAAAGTGACGCTACCCAAATTTGAACTTGATCTGAGTTTTGTGGTAATAAGCATTGTGTGTAAGTCTCATAACATTTGGTTGAGGCTAACTTAAGTCGAGAACAGAAACTAAAAATTCAGTAATTTTTCTATTTGTAAACACTCATAACTTTAGAACGGTTGTGTATAAGTTTTGTAACATTTGGTTGAGACAAACTAAAGTTAGAGAACGGAAACGAAAAATTCAGCAATTCTTATGTTTATAAAGGGACATAACTCAAGAATAGTAAAAGTGTCGCCACCAAATTTCGTACTTAATCTGTATTATGTAGTAATAAGCATTGTGTATAAGTTTCATAACATTTGGTTTAGGCAAACTAAAGTTAGAAAACGGAAACAAAAAATTTGTACTTGATCTTAGTTTTGTGGTAATGAATATTGTGTATAGGTTATTCCACATTCCAAACTAAAAGACAAATTGAAATAGTTGGTATTACTTTGTTTCATTAAAAAGAATGGCGAACGTAGATACAAGTATCTTGTCTTGGGGAGGGATAAATCGAATCACTCTGATTCAAACAAAAAATTCACTGAAACTGACATTATCAAGATGCTTGATTTCTTGATTGATAACATATTTGTTACGTTTGGAGGACATGTTTTTCAACAGACTGTCGGAATTCCAATGGGAACCAATTGTGCCCCTCTTCTTGCCGACTTGTTTCTTTATTATTATGAGGCTGACTTCATACAGGAACTTCTTAGGAAGAAAGATAAGAAGTTAGCAATATCCTTTAACTCTACGTTCCGCTATATAGATGATGTTCTCTCACTAAATAATACAAAATTTAGTGACTATGTTGAACGAATCTATCCCATCGAACTAGAGATAAAGGATACTACAGATACAGTTAAGTCTGCCTCATATCTTGACTTACATCTAGAAATTGACAATGAGGGTTGGTTGAAAACAAAACTTTACGACAAAAGAGATGATTTCAGCTTCCCAATTGTGAACTTTCCATTTCTATGTAGCAACATTCCAGCAGCGCCTGCATACAGAGTATATATCTCCCAATTGATACGATATTCCCGGGCTTGTGTTTCCTATCATGATTTCCTTGATAGAG